GAGAACATCACCGGTCCTTCCACGCAAAGGCCCTTCCCCACGATGTCTTTGGAGCAGGTCGCACAGCGCTTCCGCTCGCTCATGGCGGACGCGTTATGCGAAGCGGAATGGGGATCACCGGTCGGAGAAACCAATTGGGTTGGTAACACTAAACCGAACGTAACGTCATCAGGATGAATGCATGTAAGCTGATGATCAAGCTAACTGGACCCATGTATAGTTTGAAGCAATCTTGACAGTTGAACTCGTGGGCCAAACATGCACTGTATAGTATCCTGAGCGGGCCTGCTTCTATATAATATAGACTCACGCTACATATTGACAATTATAAAGTAATGCAGCGATAGATAGAATCACGATGAATCACGGAATAGCTCAAAGCACAGGAGAACACAGGGAGACCTGTGAGATGGCTCGGGGAGACCTGGCACCTCGCCGCCAAGGTCACAAGGTCACTCGATCGCAAGCAGAATTCAAAGGCTTTAACATGGATAGCTCGATCGACATGCTCTGTCTGACAGTGTGTATGTTCATCTAAGCATCCCAAAGAGGTCACCAAACATATCAGTGAAACAATGCAAGATCGATCTGGATCCATCAAGGCCTGGGAGAACCCGTGTTTGCAAACAAAAAGTGCACATCTTCCAAGATTTCCCTCCCTCTCTCTCCCCGCTCTCTCTCTCTCTCTCTCCCTGTCTCCCGGCGGAACATCACAAAGGAACCAAAAGAGGCTTTTGGTATAGTCAGCCCGGTTGCCGTCACATCACACTTTTTTTGAGTCTGGCTCACCACATTTCGCAAGCTTACCATAGGTCTTAATTTACCTCGGAACTGCTCTCTTCCTCTTTTTCTTCTTGGTTGCCTTTGCAACCTCACCAGTGGGGAAATCAACTTTCTTTTTCTTGGCTTTAGGCCCTTTCTTCACCTTCTTCCTCAGGTCACGATTCAACTCAAACAACGTACCGGCCATGACGCAGCACTGCCGTCAATCTATAGATGGTGTGGTATAGTCAAATCTCAAGGGACCTAGAGCGTGAAGCCAACCGGGCCGCGACGCAGCTTGGTCACTCAGATGTGAGCCATCCAACCATGTGAAAGACCTGCCTTACATTAAGTCGTCTTATGCCCGACAAGTTCTCAAACCTTAATACGACCAAGCATCTTGGCACCGGACAGGGAAGTACGGTCGACCTTCTCACCATCATCTTCTTCGTCATCGATGCTGGTATGGTGCTGCATCGCACTCCGCATCTGCTTCTCCCACGCCTGTTCCAGCAAAAAACATATATGATGAAAAAGCGTCCATTTACAAAAAGGCTCTAGGCTGCCTAGGCTCCAGTTCGTGGATGTTAGTTGCTCATTTTCTCCATGCTACCATGCTACCTGATCCATCCTGATCCTATATGATCCTATGCGCCCAAACAAGTACATCAACCCCACTCCGAAAACCCAGACCTGGACTCCTGCGGACCGGATTTGTCCTGGCCTTGCTCTTCAGCATGTAGAGGCGCAAAGCAGTCTTGGCATCTTGAATTGAATCATGTGTTCCCTCCTGGTGGATGATGGTGGATGACTGGCAGATACTGGCAGCAAAAGGGCTGGCATGGCGCATTGCACAACGGACCGTACAGTCTGAAACAAGCGTCGCAGCGCAAGCATATGAGTGACACCAAGATCCCCGAAAATGATTCAACGAAAACACGTGACACCTGGACCAGGTGGTCATTGTGCTGCTCCATAGTTCGGACCTCCCTCTCCTGAATCTTCTCTTGAAGCCAATATTCCGCCAGCTTCCGCAGGGACGGGGTCTTCTTCTGCCCCGGTGGCCGCAAAGGCCGGTACACCGAAGTGTCGCGGATGAGCACATGGGGGTGTGAGAGCAGAAGGGCCTCGACGGGATGGGCTTCCTAACTGCGGGCATCTGAACGAAAACCTGGGCCTGCGACGTTTCCTCTACTGCTTTCATCTGTCGGCGTTTGTCGGTGTCTCATGGTGTCTCACTTCGGAGGATTGGATCTGCGGGGCTGGGGCCCCACCAGTCGCGCCTGGAAGTCGTTCTGCAAGGAGTGACCCACCACAATCTTACCGTCCATGGCCTTTGCGGCCAACTCCCGTGCCTGCGGGTCTCTAGGGTGATCAACTTCTCATGATGACTGAGGAAGTCGCAGCTCTGAGCAGCCTCCCAAACCCAACCAATCCTCCTTCCCATCCCTACACCCTACACCCTACACCCAAAAAGGTCAAAACAAAAACCATCAACAACCTTCAAGTACAGCGAGCCACCCTTCTGTGTGACCAACCAATCACGGAAGACGCGCCGGACGCGCCGGACGCCTCGTCCTCGGAGATGACGCCCTCCCGGAACAAGCTGCTCCCCGTGATGCCGGTGATCGGCGTCCGGAAGTCCGTGACCCGCTCCTTGGGTCTCACATACCTCGGACGCAGGGCGACAGGAGGCGACAGGGCCACAGCGCCGACGTCAAGTGGCCAAAAGAAGCAGTTGATGTCGTGTCTGGGAATGGGGGCCGGGGGTGATGTTGGCTGGTTGATGTCGGAGGTTTGGTTGGTCTGGCTTGGCTTGGGTTGGTTGGTTCGCTGGACAAAGTAAAGTTGAGGCTTCCGAATGGTCTTGCTGCACTGACAAACGCTCAATGGAGCAACTGATGCGGCGCTTCACGGAGCAGTTTCTGATCATAAAAAACACCGTCTTAAAGTATGAGTCTGAGTTTTATCATGTTTTATCCAATATTGGGATCCGTGCATGGAGTGTCTTCCTATGTTTCCTTTCGGTGGTTGATCATGGGTGTGACAACATGTCGAAGATCTTACAACATATTATGACTTATGAATATCAATATAACTCACATAAGCTCGCGACAGAATTCAGCACTTCCCGACAAGTCGTTTGTTTTGCCTCACTGCGTGGGGTGTTTTGCAGCTTGCCAGGCTTGCAGAAGAGATGCTTGTCGAGGAGCACCTTCCCTTCGGAATCCACGATCGACACCCGAGCCAGCACGGATCTGGTGCCGTTGGGGCCAACACCCACCATCTCACAATCCATGGCCACCACATTCTCTCCGATGCCAAGGACCTTCTGCCCAAGGGCCTCCTGAAATCACCACATCATTACAATGTGGTCAAGTTCAGTACTTAAGAGTGACTCAAACAAACGTGGGCATCGTGAACCCCCATGCTCAAGCATGCCCTCATATGCATCAAAGCATTTGGATGAAGCGATCTGTAACACTGTAAGTCTGTCAAACGTTTGAATTCATGTCATGTGCTCCCCACAGAGGTGAAACCATCTTCCCCCGTCAGGATGGGTCTCCTTCTTTGCCTTGGGGGCGACGTCCGGACGTCGTTGGATCAAGGTCTTCCAGTTTTGGCTCACGAAGAACTGATGCGCCGGTGGCACCGGCTTTCCCGCAGCCTTCCCGGACTCCCGCGTGGCACCGCCTGCGGCACCGCCGTGCTTCCTGGGTGGGATGCACCGGGGAACGATGGGAAGTGGCCCTGGAAGGGCCCCGGGACCTGGGTAAATGAGACTGGATCAAAAAATCCTTTGTTTAATAACATGAATATATAATATATATAATATATTGTATCATATTATATCCAACACTGGGACAGCACACCATCATCTGCATCAGCAATGCCATGCGTCTGTCGAAGCTTGGCATCTTTCTTTAAGACCTTCAGCACATTCACGTCCTTGCCATCCTTCATGCGGCAATCACTCAATGCCACATGAGGTAGGCTGGCACGCCCGCAAAGGATGACCCGAATGAACACTGGAAAAGTGCTATGCATGTTCAGGGTTGTATAGCTGGTCTGGCTTGTGCTTGCTCAAATACACTTCTGCGATCAAAATGGTCAATGACATTCAATTACCATGTTGCTTGAAGCTGCCAACAAGCGTGGCGGACTCACATCACCAACCACACATTTTGAGATCCAACATGGACTGCGAGGGCTGCACTGAACCGGCAGGTTGATAGACACAAAAACTTGGTGTCAAACCATCTGAAGCGCAGCTGGCCTGCCAGCGAAAGCGAAACAACATGTGGTCATCAGTGATGCCTTGACTTTATATATAACTGGACTTCATATGCGGCATGCTGTGATCGCAGCTGTGTAAACATGTGACACAATCTCCTCAATCCGAACCGCTAGCCGAAGCAAACAGGAGTCAAACATACGTACCCCTAACGGCCCAAAACACAAGCCAAACATTGGACCCTCCCCTGCTCACCCTTGGACAGGCCGCTTTTTTACAGGCATCGGAAGCACGCTTTAAACCTATCGGAGAAATCATGAGAAATCCAAGCCTTGAGGATCCAGTCCGCATCCCCCATGATGGACGAGATGCACCAGTGAATCGCCGGAACTGATGGGCTTTCGGAGATGGACATCTTGGTGAACATAATGGGCTCGGCGAATATGATGGGTCAACACCGAAGAGTTACCACTCAGAGGCCAAGAAAGCCATACTCTTCTGCTCTTCTGAAACTTGAGGTCAAACACGGTCAAGGTCTAGTGTGTGGCGAACTATCTCCCCAAGTCCTCCACCAAAGCACGGTATATTCAGCAGCTGGCCAATTGGTAACTCACGTACATGTCTTTTTTGCGCTGAGGATGAGCCAAAGAGGCGCGAGGTGGCCGAAAGGTTGACTTACACTCCCTGAAATAATCACACCTGGAAGTGGGAAATTAGGCCGCCCCCCCCACAAAAAGCATCTCTATACAAATAGGAGGTTTTCCATGCAGGCGCCAAGCTGGATGAACACCTCCAACACACCGATAGCGAGCTATGGCTATAGGTGACTGATGGTGACTGGATCAATTGAATGGCTCGGCAGGTTCTGGGAAAGGATTGATACTTGGCCTTTTTCATGAACCCAGAGTGTAAACTAAGAGGAACTGGAGCGGCCAATCTCAGCCAGTCTAAGCCATATGGAGATTGGAGAATCACCACAGAATCCCTGGAACAGCGGGCTGGCCTCGACCTCCAGGCTGCTTGGAGACCTGTCCCAGTGAATGTCACCCAAGTCCCGAACGAGGGCGGCTTCGGGCTTCTCAGCGGCTCCAGTCTGCTCCAGTTGAGCTATGTCAAAAACCATCCGGAACTTTTGAAGATTATAAAAACCTTTTGCCAATCAATCCCTTCGCAACGCTTTCGCGGCTGCATGTTTTGATTTCGCCGACCCACTTCACCCAACAACCTCTTTTGCTAACCCTTTCGCCGAGTAAGAGTATCAGCAAAGGGGAATCATTCCTAATCTGCAACCACTGCTTTCGCCACATCTTCGCGAACCTTTCGGCAACCTTTCGCCTGGTTATCAGGAATCTTTGGGGCTTTAGAACAACCATTTAGATGACATGATTTGTACTGAAAACCTCTTTCACCAACCCTTTCGCAACAAAATCAATTCATCAAAACATTCAGTGCCTTTCCCCAAACCTTTCGGAAGCTTTCCCCAACTGCAGTTTTCCATTCGCAAAGATTCATATTCCTGCCTAAAATTATTTATAGAGTCTAGAGGTTGATGACGCTGCTCAGTTGAGAGGCAAACATCTCAGGCGCGCGCTCCCAAATATCTCGCATGATCCGCAAAGAACGCCACCTGTTTTCAAAGGTCGGACCGGCTGCTCAATATGGAGCCATGGAGCTTCCATGTTGGGAAAACTGATGTAGCAAAGTCATCGAAGATATTCGAAGATGGTGGAGCATCCATGTTTCAAGCAGAAAAAAAACAGCACCACAGGCATCACATCACCAAGGGTCATCGCCATGATTCTACCCTCCACGAGTCTGTTTCCACCACTGAGTACCACAACCATCATCGCTGGTCCGACAAGTGAGGTGACCGGCGCCACTGCGCGTCTTTAAAGAACGACCGAAATCTGGGACGAGTTGGACCGATCGTCTTGGCGGCTCGTGGATCGTCTGTCAAACCCAAAATAGCAGCCAAGTCACCATGAGCTATGCGGAATTGCCGTGTGGTCCTCGATGCGGCCGCGATCTTCAAGCGTCCCCTCTTCCGGGCAAAAAACAATGAAAGATACAAAGCATATGAAATTTCAATACATCGTGCACATTCCATGAAGTCTCTTGTGGGCCTTGGGGAGGTCTAAGAGTCTAATCCTCGCCCCATGGCAGGTTTCTCTTATATAAAGTTGCCTTTTCCCACAACCAATATTGAAATTCTATATACATCTGCAAATTGACAAGTAAGTGTCGGGTGAAACCTTCCGTTCCTGTCCTCCTGGCCGTGCATCTGGACCGTCAAACCCAGCAAGTGGGTGAACCTGAATCGCTCCCGATCTCCGGACTCCCGATCTCCGCCCTCTTCCGATTTCCCTGCTCAGAATCAATCCAACATCCATGGCTTGCAGGATCCAACACCACCTTTCCAAAGACGTCAACACCATCGCAAAGTCATCGGTCTTTGAGACCCTGACCGTGGCGCTGCCCGTAGGCCCGCAATCTCTGGTAGGCCTCACTCCAAAAAAAAGCAGTGACAAGGCTCCCGGCCAACAACGGTCCAAAGGTCCATATTGAAACAAGGACGAACGCTCAGCAAGCTCGGTGACCTTATATATGATATACATATATATAGAGAGAGAGAGAGAGACAGCAACAGTAACACTCAACAAAAGCCAAAGGCATTACCATGAAACCCTTCTACCCTTCTATCAAGATCAACCCAACATCTAATTCAACATCACCTCGCAAGTCGCCAGTGCTTCAAGGAATAGAACTTCCCCCAGTTCAAATCACCCTCACCAAAACACATCCCAACAGCCCAAGAGTACCAAAAAAACACACATCTCACATCTCCCACCATCATCTGCTGCAAATGTCTGATCAGCCCACCACCTCACAGACTCCCTTCCACTCCCTTCCATCGCTTCCAACTCGTTTCACCCGGTCACCGCTGCTTGGGCCCGGTCACCGCTGCTTACCCTCTCGGCTCCCAAACTTGGCAGCTTCCGCAGCGCCTCAGCGGCCTCAGGTCTCAAGACCCGGAGCCGCCAGCGCTGCTGAGCCTCTCAGAGTCGACTCAGTGGACCCGGTGGGCTACTAGTAACAAGTGCCACGCTAGTAGTAACAGGTGCCTTACTGGTAGTAACAAAAAGCTATTAGAATTAGACTAAAATTAAGTTAATAGCTTCTTGTTACTACTAGTAAGGCACCTGTTACTACTAGTAAGGCACTTGTTTCTGCTGAGCCTCTCAGAGTCGACTCAGTGGACCCGGTGGGGAGTCCACTGAGTCGACCGGAGCGAGTCTCGGACGCGACGAGCTCCGGGGCTCCTGGCTTTAGGAGCCGAACGGAAGGCCATGCATCGCTACTTACGTAGCCAAGGGCATCGCTGTTAGTAGTACTTTCCTAGTTAGTAGCAACTAAACATGAGCCGTTTGCACCGGTGTTTCCCGGGCTTTCTTTCTCGTGCACCGGGCTCAGGTGGATGTGAGGCTCGACTCGTTCCTGACGGACCTCTTCGACGGTGTCGGGCAAATCCCAAGCCTCGCTGCGACAAACATCAACTTGTGCTTACCAGAGGTACACACATTGCTGAATTAACAATAAGTGGAAAAGGTTCGTGTTGTCAGATCGTGTTGTCCGGCATTCCAGCAAGGCTTGCCTTCGCCTTCAATGATCATTTATATATATATTTATATAACAAAGCGAAGCTGATGCACTACCCAAAAAAGCGACGAGGAACTCTGTCGTAAAGGCCAACGGTGCTGAAATTCTTGTGGAAATATCTATGAATATCCGATATCTACCTAGCTGACTACCTAGCTGACTCTGAGTCAACCAAACTAGCCATGTCAGAAACCAACATCAAACATATCTGGACCAGCCAATGGGTGTCCAATGGAGATCCTTGATAGGTAGGGGTTGGTAGCCCATTGGACACCGATTGGATGGTCCTGGTATATTCACTCCCCCTTCTGTTCAAACAACGTCCAGTGGTTCAGACTTTGTAGCATGTTGAGTTAGGGCTCTCTACGACACCTGAGGGCACCGCGGTCGAACCCTGCTCCGTGAAGATGGCACCAAAGTCGCTCGCGCAAAGGATGAAGGATCCTGCAAATGAAAAAACAAGAAGATCGCCCCTTACAGAAAAGGACTGATGCTCCAGCATGCTCCAACACTACAGATCCCAGATTCTGTGAGGTTGTCGGCCACACATTAAAAGTACATCCTTGGTCCATCAGATTGACCACTCAACAGCCATCACCTGGCTGCCACTCCTCCAGTGCTCATGCAAGGCCAACATGGCGCATGGCGCGCTAGGTCGGCTCGATCCTGCGGTCTCAGCCAGGTGACCAAACCAGAGCTACAGAACTAGCGATGGTGCAGGGGGGGCCAGCACTTCAAAGCCGGGCGGACGAATGGATTGTGTGCCGTCCGCCCGAAGTGACTACATTAGGTATTATGTATCAATGGTTCATGATGTATTTAAACATATTCTGACTAGATCCTGGGGTGCTTGACATCTGCGAGTGCAGAAGCCTGCTTGGACATTTCTTGAGGGGAGGGATCGGTGCACCCCATGTTCAATATATATATATATATGAATGCTGGGTGAAGGCACCAAAAGGCGCATCCAACTCCTGGATGTTCCAATTGTCCACACCCTTCCGCCCAGAAAAGTGGCCTGGGCGGTGGCCAGGTCGCACCGAGGCTCACTCAAAAGCTCCTGCAGGAGCGACAAAGCCATGAAGAGCCACTCGAGAGTGGCCGGTCTTCGAATTGTCCGAACGCCACATCTCCGAAACCAACAGCTCTAGAATAGTCTGCAAAGTCTAGGGTTGCCCTACCACCCTCCCAGCTCCGGGTGCCGCAGCCCCACCAGACCTCGAAAGCACGGTAGATCTGCGTCAATCTCTCCACCTCAAACACTAAAGGCTTTGGCGAAGCAAAGATGCATCCATATTATGGACCTGATGCATATTAGCTGAAGCTGTTAGTTATGTCTCATAGGCATGTTGTAGACATAGTGATACATATCATATAGGTTGGGGATCGGCTTCGGTATCTCAAAAAAACACGTTCGATGGAAATATGTTGTCATGAATGCATGGACAATCTTGTGTCGTGCAAACCTAGTCGAAACCTAGACTTCCACGAGGTAATTATAGTTATCTGTTTTGTTGGATATATGCAGTATCTTGTTGGGTTACAGCTTTTCAGTGCCTCAAAGATCTCCAAAGAAACATGCTAGGACTACTGTAGGTCTGCAAAAATGATTGTTGAGGCCAGGCCTGTGCCGAGAAGGGTTGAAGTACTTACTGAACATACCATGACTGAAGGTATTGAAATGGCATGATGTTCAGGAAACAGAACGCCTGAAATCCAGTCTAGGACCACCAAAGCACACTGTGCAAAACAGCTTCCAGGTGCCATCACAGTTTTGTTTAATCATGCAGTTCTAAGCGTGGGGGGGCCCAATCAAGCACAGTTGACACCATGACGACTGGCTTGACATCCACACCAGCATCGACCGCAAATGAGCCCTGACTTTCGTTTTGCGTCTGGAGATAAGAAGATGGAGGTCCAGCCGATGCGATCAGGGCCTCTAAGAGAAGCAACACGTCCTGAAAATGTTTCTGGATGGGCAGGGACAAATGCCCGGACCCGTTCTCGCTTACTGACTCTTACTGAAGCTGTCACTCTTACTCCGATCTAAAGGTTCCTCCTTCCGCCTCACCACCTCTCTTGGTGCCCAGACTCTGTCAGCATAGCTTTGCAAGGCCAGGGCCGCCTGCAATGGCTTCATGCACAAAACGTCACAAAACGGAAGCCAAGCTGTGCAAAACGAACATCCTATACACTTTGCAGGAGCGAAACCACTGGGTGGAATGGCAAAAGGAATGCTATTATTCAAAAGGATTCAGAAGACGGTGAATGAATCATTCAGTTGCATGGTGAGTGGCAACTTGGCAACAACACAATATTTTATCCCTTGTGTTAAATAGCCGTTTCATGCCCGTTTCCCAAATCGAAATATCATACCTCCAATACATGGGCATGGGTCTCCTCCTACATCTTTCTCAAATCCTTCTGCATCAGGAGGCGCCTAGCTGCGATGATTTTCCTCCTGAAGCCTTCCCACCTGCCTCGACGAGACTGGGCAAACACCTGCGGGGCCAGCTCCGCTGCGGCCCAAACGGGGCGACACTCGATGACGGGCATCACCTTGAACCTCCAACTTGATGCTGGCCACATCGGGTAAGGGCGACAATCAGCCAGGCCCGACCTGGCAAAGTGGCTGGCAGCGAAGCACTCCAGCTGCACTCCTTGCGGCAAAGGCTCTCGGACAAAGCACCTGGCGACATGATCAGCTTTCTTGCAGCATAGCCAACATACAAGCATTCAATACACTGATACACCCTTGGCCAAGTCACGGAAGTGAAACAACCGGGCACCGCCCCTTTTCCTTACTGATGCCTTGGTTCCTATCAATCGCGCTCCCTCCTTCTGGAGCGGGACCTGTCGCGGTTTTGCCCATCGCCACCCTTCTCCTTTGCTTCCTTCGCAGCTCGCTCCATATCCTGCTTCTCCGCGGGTGTGGGGCCCAAAGGCGAATAGCTGCGAGCGGAGAAGCTGCCCCGCTCAATTTCACGGAGCTTCAGCTGCACGGCCCCCCTGGGATGCTTGGCAGCTCGCATCACATCATTCAAGGTCCGCATATCTTCCTTGAAGGTCGAAGCCCGCGATCTCATGGCGTTGATGAGTCGACTTCGGACGTTCTCCTCGAGCTTGAAGCGCGTGCAGGTTGCATCCACCTCTTCCATCATCCAATTTTCACTCAAGGGAGCCACGCTGCTTCGTGCCTCACCCTTCCCGCCTCGGGGAGCCTCCTTCTTTCCTTCAACCTTGGGAGCGGCGTCCCGAGCGTCCCGAGCATCCGGACGCTCCGGCGAGTCGTCCCGTCCGTCTCCCTTCTTGCCCGTGAGCAGGAAGCGGAAGTCTTCATCCGTGCTCTTCTCACTCACCTCCCCGAAGACCACCAGCAAATAGCCGGAACGACACGCCGGAGGCACGGCAGCTTGTTGGAGCTCTCGGTCCAATTTCTCCATCTCCTGCTGGAGGGGACCCGCGCCATTTCGCTTGAGATAGGCCACCAGCTTTGGTTCAAAGCGGTTCTCAAGGTCCCAGCGTTGCATGAAGTTTTGGACTTCTTTGAGAAATGGATCTGAGTCGCTTGACACCATTGGCGTCGGTGCGGAGGCCTGGCCACCTGAACCCAAGCTGGAGCCCATCGTCGGAGCTACAGGGCCTGGCCCTGTTGGACCCACTGGTGCTGCTGGACCCACTGGCCCTGCTGGCCCCACTGGCCCTGCTGGCCCCACTGGCCCCGGACCCTTGCCTGCAAAGCCTGGTGCGGCCTGTTTGAGCAATCTGGGAAGCACTCCTTTGGCAGCCAAGAGCTGCAAGCCCTTGGCGATCAACGCACCTTTTCCACCTGAGAGGATACCTGCCAAATCGGGTGCAGCACTGCTTGGTTGGAGGAACTGCGTCTGTGGAAGGGTGGCCTGCGCAGTGGGAGCGCCCAACGTGCCACCCAAGGAGGCGCCACAGGCCAGCGCGCCACAGCCAGGTATGCCTGGAGGCGGGGCGAAGGTCAAGGGGCCTGGACCGGTGCCGTTGGCTTTCGTTTGGCACGCGGCCTCGCAGGCCTCTGCCTCGCCAAACGTCTGGTACTTGGTGTGGCAGTACTCGCAGGCATAGGTCACGTCCTCACCATCCCATCCATCGGTCATGGGCGTCTAAGGTCGCGACATGGAGCAACGGAGCTTTGGGCGAACGGAGACCGGTGCTCACACGAAAGCTGAGCTGATGTTTGTTCGGATGCTATGTTGTTCTTTTGTGTCCGGTGTCCGTCCGTAACTCCCCGTGCTACATTCTTATAAATGAATACCACTTTTGAACTTATGTCTGAGATATAGAATACAAGATCTTCAAAGTATATATGCTATAGTACCAAGCTGGTGCACCTCTCTGGCCTCCTCATTTGGTTTTACGGCCGGATTCACTCCACAGGCCCCGGTCCTTGAACCAAGAAAGCCAAACGCAAACACAAGGACATCAACGCCAGGGTGTCTCCATGTGACATGATGGTCAAGACTCTGCAGGGGGTGTCCAAGTCCTGTGGTGAATCCCTGGAAGGTGCTGGCAAATCATGGCTGTGGGTCAAACAAAACCTTAGCCCAGAAGCCATGATACGGTTAGTCCATTCTGCTTTCCTTACTGTTTCTATATGTCTGGAAGTCCATCCCGTTTGGTTTGGGGTGTCAACAAGGGCCCTTTTTCTTGACAAGCGCGATGACGTTGACCACAAGTGTGGGTGTATATACCATACACTCAGTCCCCTGTGTGAAAATTCATGGAAATTCCATTTGCATGCATCACTTTTTGACCTCAATACGCTGACACTCTCAGTATGTCAATGCACCCCACTGGAATCCCCAACCAAATAACCCAAACAAATCCAAATGAGTTGATGGCCCCTCATCGTCCCCACTCGTGCGGCGGGAGACGCCTCTGGACAGACTTTTCCAGCAATGCTGAGGAGACCAATGCGGCCGCAGTCTGCAATCGAAGAACTGACGTTACACACATGAGTGAAAGTCCTCATGTTCCATGTCTTTTGTGCAGCCCGCACTATGAACGCAGGCTTCAGGAAGTTTTAGGAAGTCCTCAGTCCTCGCTTTTTGATTTCCCACTTCCAATCCCACTCGCATGCATCTGTATCACTGTAATTTCCCAATTGCTGATGGCCCTAGGCAGAAACCTCCCCTATTAAACAACCCCAGCTACCCCAGAAAAACATATAGTTTAGTATTGCATATATTTATTAGTTTCTTTGTTTGCTAGTATTCAATATCTTCATCTCCTCATCTGCCTGATTCTCACCACCTCTCAGCTGCCTCATCCTGCGAAGCCAATCCTTTTGATGGCTTCGAAATGGCACAGAAACCCATCAACTATCATCCATCAGGTCCAGGTCCTCATCTCATCCATCATCAGGTCATCATCTGTATTAAGGGGATGTGGTCATCAAATACCTCCGATCTCAGACCTTGTTGACCTTGAAGGGGTGGGGGCTGACACATTGACATTCACCAGTCCCCGTGGCACTTGTCCATGGACCTGCTGTCCATATGCACTCGTGAAGGGGGGTGCTTGTCAACAGCCTATAACTATAACTCGCTGGTTGTTCAAGGCTGCTTCGGGTGGCGGACGAAAACCCACCTACCTTCTCGACTGCTGTCGGTGGAGGACGTCTGAGCGCTTGCCTCGAAGGTGATGGTGTGACAGGCTGGGATATTGATTGAGAATTACTCAGATTGCTTCATTGCTTTGGACAAGTGCGGCCTCAGCGTGGACATCTTGCCACCGAAAACTGGCCGCAAGGTGCCGCAAGTTGAACGAAATACTTCTTGCGTGCTTTCTCTCACAAACGGAACCCTCCAAAGCACCAACCCACCACACCAACCGCACAAAACCGATGGACCCAACTCCGGCCAAGAAGCTGAGGCCATTATACTAATTATGGCGCATATAATGAACCACTCCAGAACACACCCCGGCTGCCATCGATAGCGTTCGTCTCTGAGCCTCCGTGCGTGGCGGGCACCAAACGCGTGGGTTCAGCTCTGTCAGGGTCCTGCCGACTCGGTGAAAGCAGGACTCGATGCCGATACTTAGCTTTTTGCTTTAACCTACAAAACGTTGTTGCTGCCCTACATTTTTTTAAATGTTGTTTAGGTGTTTGTTTTTAGTTCTTGTTTATTAAAAAACGTTGAAAGCCTCAGCCTCAACCTCTTGGCCTCAAATGGACACGGTATACCGATTCCATGCTAGCTGTTTGATCCAAGAAAGCATGTGGCACAGTGCACAGATCATCGCACTCTCAAAACCAAAGGCAAACATGCTTGCTCGCTGAGATTGCTTTTCTTCATGCCGTTCCCACCATGCTTCGGCGGCTTCGGGGGTCCTCTTCCACAGCGAGACATGGAACGTCTGCATGCATGAGCGCATGGATGAACCTGCCACGGGAAGTTTCAAGAAACACACCCAATGATTGCATGTTGGTCAGCCCTGGTAACTGCTGCACTTTTCCTGGTGCGCATGGTTTATGCTTGGAGCAACCTGTGATTGGAACAGTGACATCATGTGACATCTAATAGTAGAGTGGAACGCGTGGAAATCGAACGTTTAGGACCGATCTGATTTGCAGGTATCTGATACAATATGGCATCTGCAGGTATCTGGAAAAGCTGCACATCGATTCATAGTTCTTTTGCTTTCGTGCGTCGTTGTTTTCTGCGTGTTCAGTGTATCGGCGTCGGTGTTTTTCATCTGCCTCTCCCGCACCTTGCGCCAAAATCCTTGCAACATTGGCGTCTACTACTTGCTGCTCATGGAACGGACTGCTGGACTTGGTTAGATTGAGACTGAGATAATATATTGAGACATATTGAGCATTATTGAGCACATGCTTTCAAAAAGGCTAGACTTTGACTTTGCAAATTGCACCTAAAGAGCGCCATCTCGCAAGTCATTTGCTCGGTCCAGGTCCAGGATATCCACCTTCCATTTGGTCAGAGTGAGTCAGCGAGTGCTCTGGCTCCACTCAGTTCTGAGCTTGACAAAGGAGGTCGATCGCCCAGGTAGTCCACCGGGGATGCCGGCCACCTGGGAAACAAGGGGTGTTTAAAGAAACAGCAAAGGGGTACGACATCGGCCACCACAAAACTTGTTTTTCAATCCGCCACAAAGAGAACAATATAGTTTCGTAAGATATACCGATATAACCTATCTTTCTTCATTAGGTGTGACGGCTCATGGTAGGAGCCGACATGAGCGATCCTGGTTGAGCTTTGTCCACGTTGTCCCTTCCTTTCCCTTCACCAAAGCACCCGCATTCCGACGATCTTCAGGGATTCAGCCCATGCTTCTTGGCGATTTGAGGCTACAATTTCGGTCCATAGATCTGAATAGACCACCCATTAAGCACCTGTTGGCGTATCCTGCAGTTCTGACAGCGAAATGACTTGGCACATCTTGGCACCCAGCAACTGCACACCCAGCTCTAAAGCCACTTCGGCAAAGGCCTGCCGAACCAGGCGCAGTGTTTTTGTCTTGAACCGATAAGGGCCGCAGAGCCGCAAAACCGCTGGGATTCCTTTCCCAGCCTGTCCCCCTGCCCCTTACTGGTTGAAGTCACTTCCAAAAACATTCCGCATCTCTTGGCCTCCCACCACAAACACATGAGTTTGGGGGTCCGAGGTCAACTGGGGATAGAACCAAAACCTGAGAAGTTCCACACGTGGCCACAAGCTGTTCTGCATGCCAGTAAGGTCAAGAGGTGCTTGCAATATGTCGTAATTATGTTATACAATGTTATACAGTATGGTATTGCTGGGGGGCTATTCGCTGTATACTCGTGGGAGTTGCATGGTATGTGCATTGGGTAGTGGTGCAGAACGAACCACTGCTGCGGCAGGAGGTGTGTCCAAGGAAAAACAGTGCGCCACAGGGCATCTTCTTGGTTAACTGCCTTGGCTGTCACCCTACTAGTCACAGATACTGAGCCACTGCAGGGCACCAGCGGCACCGGGATTCGTCCCAGCCGACGGCGTTCCTGCGCCGCTTCCTCCGCCAGCCGCTCGTTGTGGCCGTTCTCGTGAACCCCATCGCGTGAGGCCTCAGCTTCTGAAGCGGAAGGAAACGGCCGAAAGGGAAACGTGGAGGCATGTCAGGAAAGAACCCCTTAATTACTGTGCTGCTGGTGTTTATTTGCTGTCTTTCTCTTGAGCCATGACGAGGGAAATGAACACTTCAATAAAAGTGCACTAAATGGTGCGGTTGTTGATGGTTGTTGGCTCCACTTTGAACAGTCAGGTGGCCCCCCTTTCAGCAGGCCGCTCAGGCTTTAGCCGAGACATCCCAATCGGCCTGGGCGGTCGCGCGGGAAACCATGAGCACCGATAGTTGGATGGCTTCGTCATTCATCCTTCAACTGCATGCCCACAAACACCAGGACGTGCAAGGAAAATGGCGCTCTAGAACCGGACTGCAAATGCCCTGAAGTGCCCGTGGTGTGGAGAATTGATCAAAGTGTGATTGCTGAATGGGCTAAGAGGTGTTGTGGGAAGCCCTGTGTTCCTATGCCGGGAAAAGTCTTGAAGTTAAGCTTAGCTGGGCAAAATGCTGGCCATGATCATGGTCTTGGGCCCTACCCTTCCTGAAAGGCGAACTGCACATCACCAAGCCTCAATTGGTGTAGTATCACCAACCGGTTTCGACCTCCACACCGTCGCTTTTCTGCGCCCAACCGTCGCGAGCATTCGCTGCGTCCGAGTCGCATTGATGCAAAGGTTCAAGCCGCTGTGGCAAAGCCTCTAGTGCTGCAGGATGGTGGGAGGCTCCCTTGGCGAAATAAAATATGTATAGGCTGAGAGGGAATTCCAGCATTGATTCTATTTGTGAGACCAACCGCATTCTATAGCCATGTAATTGCTTGGGGTTGACTGTAAGTAGCTGACGGTAAGTCATCAAGTGAGTACACAAGCTCGCAGGTCTTCGATGCTCCAGATGCGAAGCTGGTCTTTCGGGGGTGAGTGTGTCGCCCAGCTTTTGGTTCCCAACGGCAACCATACAACCAAGGAACCAAAAATAGAAAAAGGGAAGGCAAAAGCAAATGATCATGCAACAAACATCTAATATTGGTGGTAATTGTGTTGTGTGTGTTTTTTCCCCCGTTGTTTTCTTTTTTATGTTGCTCATTTTGCTTTTGTTCCTGCTTTTTCCTAGGGCCGTCCAGCTAATCAACGAATCTTACTGACTGGATCTGACTGGTAAAAAATTCTCATGAGTGCAGAAATGGCAGCCGAAAAATAAATAACATGATGTGTACCTTATAGATATTTAAGGAGGTTTGGTCATGCAAAGCTGACATCAAGCCCAGCTCAATGTTGGCAGGACACCAGGCTCTAACGAAGTCTGCCTGAGGATGCACTTACCAAACATCTTTGCTCAACAAAAGGCTGACCTGCAGGGCGTTCATGGTCCCAGCGTGGAATGGTTTGCAGCGGCCACTGGTCCCCCACGGGAGCGTGGCAAAGGCACGCTGGGGCACCTGAAGCACGTGAGCTTTTGGATGTGTGTTTTTGCAGTTTGCAGGTGTCCAGCTCTGTGTGAGCCACACACACTGCCCAGTCACCATGCTCTAAGGTTTGCCATGGATGTCAGTGGCGTCCCCCAGTCAGGGCAGTCTTCATCCTTCGCCACCCGAACTTCGGTCGGTCATGGTTCATGGTTCCTGAGACCGCAGCATCCACGGCCGGCGTAGGAAGAGCCTCAAAGGGAGCCAGGGTAACGGGGAAGCTTTGAGAACATCGGCACCGAAGCAGCAAAACAAGGCAAGCCCTTTGGGTGATTCCTTATCTTAAAAAGAGCCAAGAGCGACTTGACCCAAAGCCAAAACGAGGTTGAAGAGATAGCAAGTTTACAGTAACCATCGTTGAGGGCCTGCTCAAGCCAAGCGGCAATTGCTATCTGACTTTCTCTGTCACCACCTGGGGCTGTTATCTTTCGATGGTGGTTGGTGGCTTTGCTTGGGCAAGATCACCTTCTACCACATGAATACATCAAACTATGTCACAGTTCAGCGCATCCTCTGTGAGAAGGTCTTAAGAATTCTATATATATATATAGATAGGCACATACAGGCACTATATGGCACTATGCTTACGCCCCGTTCGCCAGGCAAATTCCTGCACAAAAGAGTTGCACTGAGCATTATGGCTCATGATGTCGTGTTCGAAGGACGGAGAAAACATGAGAAAACACAAAATTGGACGATTTGATGATGTGATGTCTCTGCATCCACGCCTAACACAGCTAGAGAAAACACTCAAAGCATCTCAAAGTATCCATGACCTGTTTGGCCCATGCAATCCTGCGACCGTCCGGTCCAAACGGGTCCCGCCATGGTCCACCCGGAGGCCGTGAGGCCTTTGGACCATCGGCGCCCAACGAAGAACTCATGAGAACTCCTGAGCTAAGCCGAAGCCGTTGGCAGTTGATGGACACATAAGTTGATACACTTCTTGACGACTCCACGTTTCCATGGTTGCGTGAGATCGGATGGTTTGCGTGGGCAGTTCGACCCCCACAGACCGAAAACCGAACGAACATCCGATGTGCAGGGGATGGAATGCTCCACGTCCGTCGATGTGTTGAAGCGGTGGATTTGAAGCGATTCGTAGGTGCCGTGGGTGCTGCGTTGGCTGAAACGCGCCGTGCTTCGTGGCCAAATTCCACACAAATGGAGCGGCGGAAAGCGACGGAAAAGGGAAGGACACGAATTCCAAGCTTGAGCTGCGCTTGGGAGTGGATCTGGATTTCTGAATCTTGGATTGGATGGAGCTGGTGCTTCAAACACTATCCCACACATGCAGGTTTCACCAGAGTTGACCGGGTTTGCAGCTGGCCTTGCACTTGGGCCACTTGCGCCGCTTGTGCCAGCCTGTTGACACGGAGTGCACACACACCAAACAAATACAAATACAAGTTGCTACTGCGTAGCCAGCCTTGCACATCCTCATAACTTTTGGGATTATATACAAAAAATAACATTGCAATACATGAGATGATCATCTCTTTTGGATCTATATAGCCCTTGTAAATTGCCCTCCCAAGTACCCCTTGTCCTCTCACGTCATACGCTCACGCGTGTATGCAATCAGTCGACCAATGGTCTGATCTGATAGATACGATTCTAGCAGTGATCCTCTCCAAATCACCAAGAAACACCAACATAGAAACCGACAAACCACCTCCATTGGAGGAGAATCATGTGAAACGCCTCAGGTAGTTACATCGCCTCCGGTGAGCGTTTCACAAAACGATGACATCCGACCTCCGTGAGCATCTGCACGGCTTCATGCTGTACACCTTCCGCTTTGCCTCTGGCCTGAGGCGTCTGATCAATCAAAAGTCCTTCCGTTACCGGCTCAACGAAAAATGTCAGAGTTCTCCAACGCCGTACTCTGTCTGCAACAATCAAGAAGTGGAAAAGGGCACACCTCTTGGAGAAATTTGGAAAATGACTTTCTCGACAAACGGTTTTCAACTTCCATTCTTGCTTGGATCATGAGTTCAAATAATTAAGTATCCTCACTTGCACAAGGCCCAATACAAACACTACGGGAGGGTTAGAGATGTCTTTTCCGACCCGCATCAACACACATGTTGAAGAAAGAGTTTGCTTCGACACCAAGAGTTGCAAAACGCAAAGTAAACAAACAATGCTGGTCCCTTCTTAGTTAAGTTAAAAAGCATCCACAATTAATGAATCGATGAACATCTGAGAAGAACCTCACCGTTGCAGCCTGGATCTGCATGGAGCTGCTTCTCCCATCGGCCTGAATGGCCCAGCGAAACATCGGATTAAAGGTTAAGTTGCTAAACAACATAAGCGCTGCATAAGCGCTGCATAAGCGCTGCATAGAATCATTGAAGATCTTCCAATATGTGGATTCTTGATCAATAAAAAGCCCCTTCCGCTTGGATTACAGTATATAAATGTTCATATGGCGTGTTTTGTTATGCTTTATTCATCAAGAGCCTACATGACCTGCCGCAGAATTTGTTTAAGGACAGTACCTTCCGGCACTGAAAAGTCGAGTCTGCTCGCCCTTTCCTCGTCATCTGACCAACGTGCACACCGTGGGCTCGATGGCTAGGTCGACCGGAATTCTCTCAAATGGCAACTGAACTCCAAGGATGTCGCCCGCCGAAACTCAATGCGTTGTAGGCGCCGCCTGAGGTCAAATTCAGCAGCTCACAAAGCAAGCCACCCTGTATTTGAATGTATACATGTTCAAGAAATCCGGACACCACCTATTGATGTGTTTGTTCCGAACATTGTCTAAGGGGTACCAACGCGTCCTTCCCTTTTTGGACCTAGGAATGGGCCCATCCTCTTCTCTTGAGAGATCGATCAGGTCGGGATCAAGGAAATCAACAAAGGTTGATGAAAATGTCGGGCGACGAATCAAAACCAAGAGTCCAAGAGCATCACTTTCCTATATCAAGCATACATCAAAAGCTCTATCTCCCTCATGAGGACATATGCAGCTTCCGGATCAGGCTCCTGCTGCTAGATGACCTCTTCACGTCTCGAAGCAGCCACCCGAACGTGATCGCCCCGAAACCCGATTCGCCCGGTTCTCGCTCGCTCAGTCGATGTGGCGCACATGAAGAGCAACGTGGCGGGGTCCAAGGCCTCAACGCGCGAAAAAGCTCCTAATAGCGTCCTTTTCTCCGTTCGTAGAGATGCCAGGAGCCCCGTTCGTAGCTTCTTGTTCCTAGTGGCGATGCCGTTTGCTTCTAGTACCGTCCTTTTCCGGTTGAATTCAGTTAGCTGCTTTTTCATGTTTGTTCTCTTGGGTGTACCGCTCAAGAGTCTTCCCCATCCTCTGCAACAAACCACTCACCTTCCCGGTTCACACAGTGATCGATCACTCGTGAGGCGTGCCAACCCCACGAGTTACGAGTTCGTCGCCTCCAAGTGGCCCTCCACCTCCTTCACCAAGGCCTGTGGGGTGAAGGGGCTCATGTAGCAGCCCAATTTGAGCACACCAAACAATTGAATACATGGGAAGCATTGAACACTTACACACTGGTCGAGCCAAAAGCCTACAGGATGTGAAAAGAATCGAGATAACCTAAGACTATGCCAGGATCGCCAGGCTCGGCTGAGTGCGTCTGCTGTGCGCCATGCCGGGATGGGAAAGTCGATCACAGCAGTTGCTTGGGGGAAAACTTGGAGAAGTAGTCTCAAAAAATATCACAGCAGTAATACACCATAATACACCTAGGCCTCCTGCACATGTTTCTGTAACAAAGCCACTATGACGGAGGATCTCCTTCCCAGCACATTCGACTGTGCATTATGATTGTGGCAAAAAACGAAGTCTTACAAGACAAAACCAAAGGGATTTCAAACAAAACTCAAAAGAAAGGATTGTCTATGGAGACTCATTGATATTGGGCAGCGAGTTTTCGTGCACGTTGCTTTGCATGTCATGAGTGTGCGGTGCGTGTTGTGGATATATGGGGTGGGTGGGCGGGCGGGCGGGCGGGTGGGTGGGCAGGTGGATATTAACAGCTATATAGTCAGCTATATATACACCTGGTGCTCACGGTGGCACACTTATATACTACAATTAATATCAATTAATTGGTAGAGGAGAGCCACATGGTAAAAAAATAACTTTGGAGGAGCGCGTCTCAGTTTCAGCTGGTTGACCCCGGCCTCGGACGCGTCACCGATTGGAAGGAAAATCACCGTGTATCCCTCCTGGCATCTTTGAAGCGTCGACACGCTTTCGACGGTCATGGAGCCCCAAAGGCATTGCATCGCTGTCTCCCGACAGAGCTGGAAAGGACAAACATGGCAAAAGCATCTGCAATGCCCATGTTGCTCCACAATGGACGTGTGGAGGCTTGGCAGCTTCCAATGTGGCATGGCTTCAGCTCCCTTGACATGTGGAGCCCCAACATCGTTCGAACGTTGAGTGCAGTCGTCAGATCCATTCGCGCAAGGAATGGCCGGATGAGGGTCTACATACTGTACACTCATGATCACTTATGAGTCTCCATATTGCGATTGACCTCGCCTCCTGCTCAGCCACTCAGGAAGAAACCGTTTCCTTGCTGATTGTGTACGGATGCTACCGAGACAACAAGGGAATTGCATAATATTATGTTGTTTGAAGAGTACCTGCTGAGTCCGTACTGACACACTCTCATCTAGAATTCGTCATCTTCGGCTAAACTAATTACCGAGGAAGAATTGCTTGGCAAAACCTCACTTCATCTCACTTCTATCAGGCCTTTGAGGGTCCCCCTTTTCTAGAGTTCTTGAGGCAAATTGAAAGTAACCAGGATCGCCTGTGGAGCTTGTGCCTCTCTTGGAATTAGCAGCCATGTCCACATAGGACCGATCGAGCGATCGCGCAAAAACGCAGCGGTGGCGCGCATGGTGCCCATTGCATCGCAGCGAAGAGAGACCAAATCCAGGTCTGGGGTGGTCTGCCGTCCGCCTCACTCCAGCCTCACGCCACCCATCATTTAAATTTGTACAGCTTCGGCTGTAATGGGAGCATACCATGGGAGCATTCTCTTGGGCCACACAGCTGCATTGGCAGGCCACAGGCCTGTCTAGTGAGGTCCTGCCCGCTTCTCTTCTTTGCAACAGCTCTCCACAGTATGTCCACCTCGTTCAGTGGTCAACCACCACTAAGTCTTTGCAGGTGAAACGCCCAACGAGTCCAAGCTCGGCCAAACATGGCTTTGTTTGCAATATCTGGTTCTTTTGTGTTCATTCTAAGGGCCCTTTTGTCAAAGAAAACGGACTGCTGTGGCTCGTTCTAAAAGGCCCTCTTGCCAAGAATAATGGCAGCAAAACATTGCCCTATTTCATGGCTCTTGGTTGTTCATGTTCCCTTTCGATCGCCTTACAAAGTACGCGTACACTTGAACACGTTGAAGAGACTAAATGGCGCGCGTCATTCTGTACGAATTGATTCAGAGCGCGGCATCACGCTGTAGCTTGACCTACTGGTGCAATACCCGCCAAAAGTGTTGCTGATTTATACAATATATATATAGTATACTCATGATGGCCCCAACCTTGTCTCAAGAAGGCCAACCAATAGACTTAGAACCAATACACGCCATTGCCGAGACCTGTTCTCAGTCCTCACAGAACATGCCCTCCCTATAAAGTCCTAAAGTCTGGTTTCTCTTGGCATTCGCATCTCACTCTGCCGTCGAGCATGGAAAAGGACATCGTTGACGAGCATGGCCACCGCAGCTGGATCTTGCTGGAGCGGCTTCAAGCTCCATCAGTTCATCTAAGAGCTATGAGGTTCTGTTATAGAAGGGTACATTCCTGAAAGCCTTGGACATATCCATGACTTCCATTGACTTCCAATTCCCACTGCGGCAATCTACTGGGCCCGATGTGGGCATGTCGTTCTTTTCGGGTCGGATCCACCGATGGAGCTGTTCCGATCTCTGCCACAAGCAGGTGCTACTACTCCGGTGCACAAGATCTAAAATGCCTCCCAACAAAGGTGACCTTGAATTCGACTTGGAAGAAATCATGCAGGCTAGAGAATTCGCAATACAGAACAGATTGAACAAACCTCATGCTTGCCATTCCACCGGTGTGAGACAAGCCCTTGGCCACGCCTGGCCGCGCCTGGCGGCTGGCGCACGAAGGGTGCCAGCCAATGCCGGGTCCCAAAACCCGGCAGTCAAAAGCTGGCCACGAGCAACTGGTCGCACTCATAACAAACCTAAGCACTCAAACAAGGGGGGACATTTCCTCACCTGGCAGCTTTTAGAAGAAGACAAGCCGCAAGGGTTTACAATGACAAGGGGCAAGGGGCCTCGCCTAAAGCAGTCAGTGATGATTCTGGGACGACGATGTATGGCTCAGAAAGGCTGGGACCTATCTCAACTGGGTTTGTTTCATCATTCAACTTAAGGGGCCCATGTTTACGGTGGAAATAGTTCAAGATCAAACCACAAGCAGTGTAGATTGGGTCAATGAAACCGCACTTCAATATTTTTCAAGAAGTGGCCCCCACTGTCCCCACAAAGTGAAATAACCATGGAGCTCCCTTGGTATTTGCATAGCATGTCCACGTGCTGGTGCATGTCTATTAGCAGCATCTACAGCATAAGCCACCAGAGTTTGGTTCCATTTGGACTCTGGCTTTGCGTGTTGATTTGGGACAATCCTCACCCTGGAGCATCTCCGTAGGGTGGCCATAAGATCACAAGACCCCACTGGATGGTTCTACTTCCTCTGCCACATTCTGCCACATCAGGTCAACAAACACGAACATTCATCATGTGTTGTGTTCTCATTCAGTTCGACATTGCCACATCTTTTGGATAACCCTGAGGCACTTCCGGTAGCTTCTTTCGTGGAAAAGAACCACCAGCTTTAGATCCAAACATAAGCTACCTTAAAGGGAAAAGAACAGGATTTCAATCTAATTGTATTCTGTATGATGCACATACACACACATCTATAATATAAATATATGCATAATGTATAACATAATATGTGTAGTTGCCTCTGGATCCCCCGATCCGTCTTTGGCCCGCCCCGCGTCAGACCGTCCATCCTCCCACCCCGGAGCCGAGGGGCTCCGTCGCGACAGCGGCACCGGCGCGGCGCTTCGGAGGCGCAGTAGTCGGACTGGATCTCCAGCACACGCGCCTTCGCGGCTTGCAGCACACCTGTCTCCGGGCCACGTTGGAAATAAGCCGCGGAACTTCCGTTTGGGGCGATCGGTTGGGGGCGATCCAATCGGCTGCTCCGTGTCGTGAGGCTCTTCTCTCGGGATTTGGGTGCGCCGGGAGGATTTTGAGCAGGTCTGACAGAGCGGAGCGGAGGTCGGTGTTCTAGTCCATGGAGACGTTCAGCGGCCAAACGGACTGAAATGATTGGGAGTGGACGGAGTGGAGGATCGGGAATGGTGAGCATCATCGTTTGATACCGTTTGCCTGGTGATTCACTCAAACCCGGGCGTAGCGGTGTGACACCAAGGACCAATGGATTTTCGAATGTTGGTTGAACATCCTTCCATATCCTTCCTACTTACTCAGGGCCCGAGGCATCCCGCTCATGCTATATATAATAAGTGCCTTGTTCTCTCCATGCTTTTCCTGAAGATGTGGAATATTGTGGAATGATGTGGATCAATCTTGCATCTACTGCCTGGCTGCGGACAAAAAGCAGCCTCGAACCGTTGTGATTGATTTACAGGTGTTGGATGATGTTGGATGTCTGGTTTTCCTTCCGGGACGGCCTACACAACGCCCTACAGGTGACGCATTGGTTTGAGGAGTCACGGCGCACATGTAGTGTAATCCTAAAGTTGCATGCTTGCATGGCACACCCAGTTCTCCAATCAACCCAGTTCTCCCAGTGGTCCTTCCAAGTTGGACTGCCTATATCTAAGAAGGTTCGAACGTCAAGGGCGACTGCGGAAGGGCCAGGGCCGACGGACGCCAGCTTGAGACTACGACATCACCAAGTCACGCAGGAACTTGTTGTGGGAGCTCCTTAGCGGAGTTCATTCACCAACGAACGGCGCACATCCCAGATGCCACATCCCAGAAAGCTGCAGTTGCAATCAGAGCGGGAACTACCGTTCCAGCGGGAAAATTGAACGTATATAAATTGCATGGCTTGGGTCTCACGCTGAGTGGCCTTCGATCGGGAAGTGATGATCAACGAAGACCAATTGAAAACGGCTCAAAATCCGTCCCGCGGCGGACAAACATTTACTAGCCTAGCAATGCCTAGGGTTTGTATGGATTTGTTCTCCAATGTTTGAGATCTTCCTGCTTCTGTCTTGTGACACACGCACCCGCATCAATTGCGGCACTTCCTCACTTCCTCACCCCTTCGGCCCCAAACCTCGCTCCAAGGCACCCCTTCCGCGCCAGGAGTGCCACGTCCTCCGCGTCCTTCCGGTCCTCCGTCAGCTGCTCGGGGTCGGCGCCCGCGTCGAGCAGCAGCAGCAACGCAGTGGCGTCGCCCAGGTAGGCCGCCAGGTGGACCGGACACACGCCTCGGGCGACGCCCGAGGAGTGAGTGGTGCCTCGACTCGTCAGGGTTTAGAGTAGATGGCACAATCCCCCAAAAGGTTAGTCTTTTATGGAGCCCCCATCTAAATGACATGTAGGGGTTTGTGCCATTCTACTCTGAAACCACTGGAGCTGCTTCTTAGGTTGTGTTTCGAATTGAAGTCTTTGTCCGGGTCCTATCGCCACAGTTTTTGTTGGCTTAAGATTTGAAGTTTTGGACCTGGTCAGTCTTGAGGTGTTCCTGATCCTCGTGCAGTACCTTACTGTGCTTTCACTTTGCCTGTGTTTGCTGGCGGGTCCATGTATCCTGGCGAAAGTGTGCAGGCGCAGCATGTCGTGCTACTGTTCTTGCCCTTTCCGTCGTGTCCTTTAAGATTTACAATCTCCAGGCTGCAAAGCCTTGTGCTCGGACATTGCAATTAAGTAGTGGCAATTCTCTCTGCCCTCTCTCTCTCTCTCCCTCTCCCTCTGTGGAAAGTAAGCAGCCTGTGCCGGTTCAAGTCACAGGGGATCTAATCCGGGGGGTCGTTCCACCACAGGACCACTTCCCAAAGAGCCCTTTTTCGGGTAGTTAATGAATTTACAGTATACCCTCAATCAGGAAACTGTGCTACCATGTGCTACCCGTTCTGACCCTACGTACGTTCAGGTGGCTAAGAAAAGAACGCACCCCACCACCAGCGCCCAGTGGCCCCTCACCAAGGTCTTCCCAATCCTCAATGGGGACGAACGCGGAGTCTTCACGTCGTGGAATTGATGGAGCTCCAGAAAGGACGCTGTCATGTGCCTGAGTGCAAAATGACCAGGAATCCAACCCAACCTCTGCCTGCATGCGGACAAGTACAATTCAGTTTAGATTTGAGATAGGGAGGGTGCCATTCATTTCGGGGTTCGACAAAGTAAGCACAAAGCAAGAGGGCAAAACCTTCAGCCCACCGACTTCATGTTGCCTTTGCTGTTGCTGCATCCGCGATCTCCTTGCCTGCGGGCCTTCTGAACTCAGCGACGATCGTATGTTTGGGTTCCCGGAAGCTTGCAAAGGCGCTGACAGCCGTTGTGTGGACATTCCAGAACGCGTCACCGAAAGTGCTGAAAGCCGATTCGAGGGCTGAGACGCCTGAGCCCTGGAGCCCTGAGCATCTGGATGGAAGTTCCTCGAAGCCCCATCGATGTCCAAAGTCTCCAAATCACCTGCATTAAAGGCCACTTGGTGACTTCCATCTGGAGAAAACCCAGACTCTCCGTCTAGGTTACGAGGAAAGGCCATGGCTCAGGGCCCCTAATCCTTGTGACGTTCGTCATCTCATATCTTGAGCAGAAAGGTTCAGAAAAGAACTGAAATCATGCAGCTGGCAAAGGAGAACTTCGGAAAGCCAGCCTTTTTAGCCTGTCAGCCAGTGTTTGAGCCACCTGACACCGTTTCAAATGCTCCACCTGGTCCGACCTTCCCATGGAACGCTCGCGAAAGCGGAAGCATCGACTCCTGGTGCAAACGACGAAGCTCCATGGGCACGGAGCACAGAAGCTCCTGGCGAGACCGGCTCCGCTCCGTGGGCTCCGCTCCGTTCGGCTCCGTCAGAAGACTCGGAGCGGCAGCAGCGATATCGGATGATATCGGGCTTCGTCTCAGGCGGCGGCCTTCGTCTCGGAGCTGGGGTGGAATCGGTCGAATCCATCTACTGCAGACCGTGGTTCCCAAAGCTGGAAAGTTCCGAAATGGTGGCGTTTAGACGGACAAATGATTCATGGAAGCGTCATTTGTGTGGTTGGAGGCTTGAATGAGGCCGTTCACCTGTCCGATTCCACTGGCATCACGGGAGGAGGAGGTGGTTTCATTCAGTCCTCTTCGTCCAGCCAGCTCGGCATGACGTAGCCCTGCGTCTCATGGGACTGCATCCCGAAGAAAGACACAGGGGCCATCGCGGGCAATCCCATTAACAATAACGTAGGCTAAAACGAACGGCAAATTCACCTGCAAAAGGGAGAAGTACATAGACCTCCTATCTGCACCTCTCTGGGGAGATGTAGCTACCGCATAGTTTCCCATGAAAGAGCAGGCGTTCTGTAGATTTCTTTAGGCTCCACCGCCGCCGTCAGCGGCCATCCACCAAGGCGTCACTTGGCACCCAAGCCATGCGATCTCGGCGCACGTCAAACTTGAAGGTGTATCGACCTCGGGTTGGCGTAGCGCCTGGAATGACCTGACCATATCAGTTTTCAAGTGGATTTGCAAATATACAACCATCCTGGGGTAGATAGAGTACGAACCAATCCGAAAAAATGGGCAGTTTCCCATACGTAGTTTCCCATTTTTCCCACATATATTCAATTTACTCCAGGATGACTATATGTCAAACAACAGTTCAATCCTCAAGTTGTTCGCCGTTGATAATGAACGTTCTTTTCTTCTGCTGAATAAGGTGAAAAGGATTTAACCCTTGAAGTACTTTGGAGGCAGTTGGACCTGCCAATCCTACTCAAAAGTAACCAAAACACCTTCTCTCTCTCTCTCTCTGAAGGTAGGTAAATCCCAGGGCATCCAACCATTCCTTACAGGCCGCAGACGGCACACACACAATATCAAGCAAATATCCAAACCGTTCAATGACCTTCAACGAGGGAGAACTATAGAAGTGGAACCCCTACTACTTGCTGCCACGAACAACATTTCCAAGGTGCTGACAGCCATGGGCACCCAAGAGTTTGCAAAGGACGTTAAGGAACACGTTCTAGATGTTCACAACCACTTCTGGCAGGCCATCTGTTTGCATCATTGGCGGTAATGCGCAACCCAGGCTCATCACCAAATCTCGAGGAGCTGGCCACTCAGAATATGTGGGCAAGATGAGACCTCAACGAAGGCAGCAGCTATCGATCACTGGATTTCAGTGGGGGCGGTGTTTTCGGTGTTTCCCTGATTACTGGAGATCCCCTTCGTGGGCAGCACAAAGCGCAAGGTCTTGCGCCTCTCTTTTGCCCAATCAACTTCTAGTGACTACTGAGACTACTACTGAGCACTGGTTTGTCCATTGAACTTCTTGCGGACTTGATTTCTTTCAAGTCCGAAGGATAAGGTCGAAGCCACTCATCCTGCAGTTCATCCTGCGTGATTGTACGTGCTTCTTTTGTCTCCCTCGAAATGCGCTTTGGTGGGCTGTTGCTTGCACCAACGGCCATTTTAGGGTCCACGAAGAAAAGTCCTCTCACTGGGGTGCTGCAGGTCCATGCACATCAAACACCAACCGCCACATGTCCATAATGTTCCGTATGCTAATGGAACCCTTCGGAAATAACAAGGGTGCCAGGATTGTAGATTGTATAGTTGGCATTGGATTCAAAATGGTCACCCAAGTTTGCTCTATCCTCCACCCTGAAATCACTAGGGACAGCCGCACCCGGTTTTAAGCATACTTAAGCTTCAGTAAAATTAGCTCTTTCCCTGAAGCTCCCGAAACCTCAACGAGTCCCTCCGAACACTCTTGAAGCCTGAAGCCGAGGCACAGCAAAAACACTCTTGAAGCCGATGCCCTTGCGTCCCGTCCGATCTGCCTGGCGCCGAGGATTTTGAGGTTTGTGAATCTGGACCGGCCATTGTGACGCTTCAAGGTCTGTTCACAGATAGGCTAAGAAGAACACAAAGAAATCGGCTATATGCTCCAGGCAGTGTTTCAGAAAATGTATTTGTCCAGGTCAGATATGGTCAGATCAAAACTGATTAGCAACTAATAGGCCTTCAAGGCGACATGTGGGAGTCTTACGTTTGCATGTAACATAACAATATACATGCTCTTTATGTATAGGTATACATACACCGCTATATACACCGTATCATACATACGGTATATAGGCTCAATTGAGAGGTTTTGGTGGTCTATTCCTCCAATTATTGACGTTCGGCATCGGCCATTGTGCTCCGCCCAAGAACAAAAGGAAAGGTTTCGGGATGTCCCCACTAGGGCCCATCAGGACTCGCACCTAGTGGAACCACGTGGAACCTAGTGGACGACATGGACTGTGGGAGGCTCGATCCTTCTCACCAGTGGGGGGCATCGGAGTTCTTCCTTCCCCTGACTTCCCCACTCCCTCTCTCCCACTCACTAAGGAGGTCACGACTCAAGGGACCTCTACTGGGACTGGGACCTCTCAGCACATCGTCTGCGTTGGCCTTGTCTTTCTTCGCAGACTTGGAGATTGCACACATGCCGACCAAGTCTTGTGCCTTGCTGCGGAGTCATGCTAATGGTCGGGTGTGTGATGCTGTATGGCTCTGCATCTCTCTACCCGTCTCTACCTGCTGCTGCCGCGGGGCAAACCAACATAATTCATTTCGTTACTGAGCCTGATGGTCTAGTCCACCTGTCCAGCCAGCCCTGGGCTCTATGGCCGTCAATCCCACTTCATTGTTGATCACTGCGATGTAGGGCTCTTCTCCCGCCTGCTCGAGAGAAACGCCGATGATTCCAGGATTAGTTATATCACCTTGCCATTTTAGTGGAAGCCAAGCCCCTGAATGGAAGAGAAATCGCCACTTCTTCACTCTGATATGGCAAAAAATGGCTCAAGCATGAACGCTTCATGCGCAATACGGTACAAGCCGCTAAAGCTTCTGGATGCACACCAGCCAAACGTTTGCCCACGTAGCCCCACTTGCGCGCCCACCTCGCACACAAAGCGGGCGGTTGGTTCAACACCTGCATGTGCAAGGGACTTGGTGAAACGCTCTTCGGTGGGTTCTCTAGAAACTTGGCCTTCAATAGATTCAAGCAACACCAACAGTTCAAGACCGCCTCTACTCTACTAAATGCAAATCGCGGCAAGCACCCTGCAACATTGTCAGAGTGCCCTTCTTTTCAGCTTGTTTGACATCTGTGGGAGCTGCACGTCTGGAAATGGTTGCGGAACTTCACCGCTGGTCTGAACAATCTCAAACTTATTGATCCATCTTGGACAAGTACTGGGAGCCAGCCTGGTAGTTTGGCCAAGTCTTCATCATACCATGCTTCGCGTTACCGTACACAAGCAGGTCTGCAAACATCACAGAACGTGGAGACTTGACAAGATTGCGCCCCAACTTTGTCATAGTAAACCATTGCCCTTGCATTTGCTTGCCAGCTGTTGTCATCCTTCCGGCGACTGTTCTTTCAGCTTCTGCCAAGTATGTTGAGAGCTGCTTCAAACGAGGCTTGCTGGGATCCGAATGGCAAGTGAGCAGCAGCGCTTGCAAATACACAACTGCCGCGTTCGTATCGTTTGCACCTACCCCTTCAACTCGCATCCTATCCAAAATCTGAATCGCTGACAGGGGTCTGCCGGCCAGAATGTGCACTTTGGCCTTTCCGACGTAACAAATGACATTTGGAATGATCCTGTGCTGCTTCACCAACTTGTCCCACAGCTGGTCAGCCCTTTTGAAATCAAATGAGCTGGCCGCGGCATTGATCAAATCACCCAGGGTAACTTCGTTCGGCATCTGATTTTCCGAAACCATCTGGGTCAGCAACTCGTCGACTTTCGTATAGTACCCACAGCGCTCGTAGAGTGACAACATAGGGGTGTAGGCCATAACATTCGCTTGGAAAGGACATGATGCTGACCATTGTAAAATGTCAGACGCCCATGGTAAAGCTTCTCTTCCAATGCCTGCGCAAAAGCTGAAAGCACTGCTGAGAGCAATATTGTACTCCCTATCGTTTGAGGGAGCAGGGATGTTCTTCCAAACTTCCTTCCCCAAAGCAAGCCCTGCTTTCATCCTCTTGCTCATGATATCTTGGCTCAGGCTTCTATCTTTCAAGCAGGATGCCAAAGCACTTAAGAGTATGCTGTTCAGCAAGAATGTCCAGCTGATGTCGCAGTTTAGTTTATGCGAATGCGGTTTACCTCTAGCAGAGGCTTCCACCAACGATCATGTCCACATTTTTGCATTGCTGCACCAATCACACTTGCATCCACTTCATCTCTACGAACAGCCTCCGTCAGTTGTGCCAGCAAGTGCTTGCTGGTCCTGGATCTTTTCAGTTTAGATCTCCAATGAGTGAATTTGGGGTTTCGCTGTGACACCGGATAGTTCCCTGTGGTAGGTGCTGCAAGAAAAAAATTGTGTTTGTCCCTCAGCATCCCTCAGCCTTCGCCCGGTAGGCCGTGCAAAGGTATCAGTGGGCCGCTTGAGCATTCGTTCGCGCTTGGAATGGGGGACCTCGTGTGCTCTGGAGTGACTGTGGAGGATTGTCAAGCTGCCTCTTTGCCACCTTTGAATTGTCCATGCCAAATTTCCTGCAAGGAGGAGGGCATACAAAAAGAGGCCTAGCTGGACCAACCTGGCAGGAGCAAGAAGCTGCATTTGCTTCGATGGGGCCGGTTCTGTGTCTAAAAAAGATACTGCCAAGCGGAGCTCCTCGAGGACATGTGGCTTCGGCAAGAGTGCATGCAAAACATTGAAACAAGGCATGGACAAAGTCAACTTGACAAAGGCTCCCCGCGAGCCTCCCATCAAATGATCTTATTAGAGTTTGAGGGATGTGGAGGGTGAGCATTTCATGAACGGGAAGCTCAACTGTCCAAGCTCAACATGTTCAAGTACAGTACAAATAGTCACGGCATGTCTTGACACATACCTCAAAATTGTCTTGATCGAGGTGAGAACTTCGAACGGCACTGCTGTAGGTATCTGATCTGTCTGACCATCCCAACAGCTCAGATTTGCAGTTGGGCGCACCCATTGCGTATTCGTTGTCATCTGCGTTCTGCAGCAGCTCCAGGACGAAATGTGCGCGGGATGCATAAATGTCAGCAGCCAACCTGAGCAGCATGGTGTGGGAGGAGTGTGCCAAATGGCAGCAACAAGCCGTGTTCAGAAAACAAATAGAAAAAGAGTGGCCGTGTTCCACCAGGCTTTGATCAATGAAATCATCGCCCGCAAATCAGTTCGGTACTACTCTCTACTGCCCAGAAGTTGGAGAAGTTTGTTGCTGATCCTGCTTGGACTACCTGCCCAAAATCAGTACTCTCCCAGTGGCCGGTCACAGGTGCCATGGACGAGACACAACAGCCTTAGCATCCTAGAGTCTGAACTAGGATCTCCTCTCAGGTTGATGCAAGCTGATTATTTGGCTTTAATATGCTTCGCAAAGCTCAAGTGACGTAGAATATAATCGGAACGAGTCCTGATTCGTCTCTATTTTCCCATGCCATGCTTCTTCCAACCTTTATGACAACTAGAGCAGGAAGTATTCATAGTCCTGCTGACCATCTTGTCTTCATTAGTTCGTCAGCAGAGGTTCCTGATTTCTCTTTACATTCAAGCTTGCACTTCCAACCTCCATGGCTACGCCGCAAGCTCTTTTAAGGCACTTCTTGCACTTTCTCTGAGAGAAGCTCAGCTGGGAGTTGAGGATTACTTTCGAAGAGTTCCTGCTGAAAGGCCACCCACACACTGATGTCCACCTTTCAATGGGGACATCCCAACCAGCGTCCTCCACCTGATGCCATACGCGCTCTCTGGAATTGTATGCGGTCGAGGCCACCCAGAGCTTCTTGGGGAGTTCAGACACCACCACTTCGCACTTCTTCTCCACCTCCAGGGGCTTTACCGTTTCTTCTTCTTTTGAGGAAGTACCTGGAGGAGGTCCCGCAATAGCAGTCTGGTTTATGTCTATCTCATCTCCCCGGCTCTTCAACTGCCTTTTGGTTTTGGGCGCTCAGGTTCTTGTTGGCGGGTTCGGACTGTAGTGCATCTTCGGCATAAGTGAGCACCACTGATGACCTCCAGCGACCCAAGAAGGCTAGCTCTTGTATGGGCATTCCCAACCTCACATATCCCATGGCTCCTGATCTCCTCGCGGAGTGGCCCTGGATATGCTCCGAGGTGACCGTTGCCCACCCCTCCACCATCTCGGCTTTGGAGAGCTTCTTGCCTTCTGAGTCCTGGAACACAAACTCTTGGGCTTCCTTCTCAGCTCCCCTTAATGCCTTCCACATCTCCGTCCACAATCTCCATGGGCACCATCTGTAGCAGTTCTTGCCGTTGCAGCACTGCAGGGTTCTGCGCACTCCCAAGCCCTGTTGGTCACACTTCGACACGGGGATGTAGATGGAGACTCTCTTCTTGTCCCAGTCTGCTGAGATGTCTTTCCCTTTCATCGCACTGACCTCCATCTCTCTCAGCATCCACACGACCGCCCATGCATAGGCCAAAGCAGGCCTGATGGTCTTCTTCGGTCCTCTGCAGACCAGAATCCATTTGAGGTGCTCGATGTCGTCCAGCTTGAACTCGGGCGCTCTTCTCACCGGGCCCCTGTCTCTTTTCAACGACCGCTTGCAGTCCACCAGGGCCTTGTTGAGTTGCTGACTCACTTCCCAGCCTGCTTCAATGTGCATCAGCTTCAGCTCATTGACATACTGGTCCCCCGAAGTCCAGCCCACTGCCTTGATCGCGGCCGCCACGTTCTCCTCGATGGCCAAAGGGAAGACCCGCTCGGCTGCATGCTTCCCTCGCCATTGCCATCACCTGTTCTCTTTTTGTTCTTTGGGAAGCCCTCGACGACTTGGCCATGAATCCTTCTCTCAACTCGCGTCTGGCCCTTGCCAACTCCTCCTTGCCCTTCAGGATGTTCATGTGACCTCTTCAAAGGAGCCTCTTTTTGTTGCGATTCTCCTCGCCCCCGCCATCTCAATCTCTGGATCTCTGTCATATGCGATCCCTGATCCTCTATCCGCCTTGTCTTGCTCACCAAAATGGCCAGCATCCCTATGCACTCGATTCTGAATTAAGCCACTCATGCAATTCTGGGGGTCCCTCGCAGCAAAACCAGTCAGACCCCATGCTCTCCTAGCGCTCATTGAATGCGGGATCCACGTCGCAGCATTGGACCCGGTCCCACCCCACCAAGGCGGTGCATGTCTTGCAAGTCTTGGACCACGGGTTGAGCTCGCTGCACCATAGCCTCCAAGATCCGTGCTTGAGCCTGTCGAGCTTCTGGAGATCGTCCCGGTGATTCTCGCATCCAATCCTTTTGATGACGTCTCTGCCTCGTTCTGGAGCTTTCTCTCCTTGGTGACCAGTTTCGTCTGGGAGTCCCTGATTCGCTTGTTTTGCCACGGGGTGAACATGCCCTGTCCTCAGTTTTCTCCCCCCCGGTCGGACTCTGCCTTTCCCTCTCTACCTGGCCTCCGCGGAGTGAAAATCCACCGCAAAGCCGTCCAGAGGCCCTGCAAGAGGCCCAGAATGAAGAAAATCCACCCGGCCGCCACCGCGAACTCACCGTAGGACCACTGGAGTGCGGTGTCCTCCGCCGTCAAGGCGTCAGGTGGCCTCACCATAATTTGAGCCATTATGAGCTCTCCCGGCGAATGCTCGAGCATCAAGCCTGACGCAACCTCGAACGACGTAGAGTCCCCGTGCCCCGGCACTTCAACCCTACCACCCCCCGTCCGTCGACCTAGAGTGGCCCCCCCCTCGCTCTCTCCTCCCCTCAAGCCGAGAATGACGACGAACCACTTTTCGTCATCATCCGTTCACAGCAGCTCGAAGGCTCCGGAGATTTGCTGGGCGGTCGCTCCCCACAGATTTGGGGCCACGCCTGGTGGTGAAAGGTACGACTTATGCATCAGGTTCCTTGGGAACGACTTGATCGGTACCTTCAGAAGTCTCTCTGGCTTGGGCCCTCGTTCATGAGGTCGTGACAGCCAGTCCGCTTCCACATTCCAGTTTCCTGGGATGTGCTGAGTGACCACGCGCTTGATGCCATGCTTGTCAAACCTGATGGCCAGGTCAAGGCCTCCGGCTCTTTGAACAGCGTCACAAACCACCGCCTCGGGAGCTCCAGCCTTTTGACTGCTATGAGTCCGACCTTGGGTCTCTGGTCGACCCTCTTGGAAGCCCTCTGGCGTTCCTCGTTTTCAGAACGTTTGGCATCACCCAGCACAGCATACATGATCGAGACAGCCCAGCGCGTACGCGGGAGGATCCCAGCGATCCATGAAAGCCGGCCCGTCAGCTGCTGGACTTCTTTGAAGCTCACCGTGCCTCTGGACTCCCATGCTTCGAGGTCCGCTTCCGCCATCATCTTCTTCGGCACTGTCAGCTTGATGGCTGCTTCCGCCTGCACCACCTCAAACATGACCCCGATCCATGTCAGCTGTGAGCCCCGTGATCCTTTACGCCATGCCAGGTTGATGCCTAAGGCTCGTGCTGTATACAGCAAAAGCGCCAGGTTCCTGTTCCGTCAGGAGGTCGGCCCACGAAGAATCCACATTGGATCGTCCATGTATAGCTGACTTTGCATCTCCGATGGAGCTATGAGCGACCGCCAAATTCGCGCCAGACAAGCTGCAATCCTTCCCATGAGAAGTGGTGCACCTTTGAAGCCAAACAACATCGCGACCCACATGAGGGTTTCGGATTGATGCAGCCCTGGGCTCAAGCAATTTTGGTGCTCGTCTGGATGGACCGGCAGATGGCAGTAGGCGTCGCTCAAATCCGCCGTGACCATCTCGAAGTCGAAGATGCCTCCTTCCGGTCGGTCCTCATCCAACTCCCACTCTTCATCCCTGGACTTGGTCTTCATGCGGTCCCTGGTGCTCCATAAGTATCGAAAGCTGTCAATGACGTCGACCACCCTGGGTAGGACTATCCTCTCTGGTACCCTGCATCTTGAGTTGCCTCCAGACCTCAGCAGATCAATGATGATTCTTCTCTTGACAGATCCATCCTCCTTGTTCTTGATCAGCAGGGCCAACTTGGAGACAATCCCTCGCGAGTGCATGGACTTTGCCTTACCCGTCGGGAGGACCACCGCAAAGCCTTCCTCTACCAGTCGCCCCAGCTCTGCTCGTGCGTGCACTGGTTCATCTGTGAAGGACTTATAGTTGGCCACCCCTAGTTGGTCCGCCAGCTCCGGCATCTCCTCCATCTCCATTTCTGGGTCATCAGCCATTGGCAAGATGCCACAGCACGGGATCTCTTTGCTCATACCCAACGGGACTCCTTTACGGATCCACTCGACCAGGTGCTTTTCTGGATCCGCTGAGCTCTCAACCAGGCATCCCATAGCTCCGGGTCCAGCGGGGACTCAAACTCGTACTTGTCCTTGAGGACGATGTCTGTGAACGACCGAGTTTGGAAGAACTGCTTCAAGGCTGACTTCCACATCATCTCGATCTCCATGTCCGGCTTGTTCAATGTCCAGTGCTCTCGGGAAGTCTGCGATGAAGCGATCCCAGATGCGAGACACGTCCATGCCCACCTGTCGAACTCTGGACAGTCTTTCTACAGCACGTCCCGGGTTGCGCATCCCTCCGATGAACCTGTCATTTTCCTCCTCGCGTCTGGCCTTCTTCGACACTCCCAAATGCGGCCGAGTGTCCTGCGTCACCTGCGTCTGCTCCCAGACTCTCTTCGATGGGTCGGCTGCCGGTCTTCCTTCTGGAGGTCCTTGATAGATCTTCTCTTTGCTCAACAGCCACTTCTTCTTCAGCTCGGAGACCTCTTCCGTCTTGGTGATCAGCCTGTTCCTCCAATAAATACTCCAACTGCAATGTGTGCTTGAACGCCGTGATGATCAGCTTGCAGTACTCTTCACAGAGTTTCTTCGGATATTGGGCTGCGAGCGAAGTGCGTTTAGCTCCCACCAGAGGTTCATGACGTATCCATTGCCCACAGGTGCAAGTCCGACTCAGCCTGTCGAGGTCCAAGAGGCACCCTGCCCAGCGTCCTGGTTTGTACCACCTGACGCGCTCTTCTTCTTGGTAGGCGCAGGTATTATAGTCTGCCACCTTTCCCTCAAACACTTCCATAAACGTCTTCACCTCTGGGAGCTCCCAGGCGGGTCCTTCTTCTTTGGTATCCGACCCTGGGGGGTTTTCAAGGGTCCCCGCCTGCGGCACTCTGCGCTTCCTCTGGTCCTTCAAGATGGTCCCGATGATCTCCACCGACCTGGATGCCAAGAGGGTGCCAACATCAGCTTGCTGCTGTTCCTCAGGTGAGTTCGATGGGAGTCCATAGATGTGCTGAAGCGACCTGACCGGCGGTGGACCACGGTTCACCATATTCCATCTCGCCCTGCTGAACGTGTTGCACGGGAAGCCTGCGTGACCTGCATCCTTCTTGGGGCACTCCGCATTCGGATGAGCCGGTGAAAAACACAGCATGCATTTATGCACGCGCTTGATCTTTCCTTTGCACTCTGAGCCCGCGGCTAGCCCTGCGCAAGGTCCCACGCTTTTGGCCCAGCTATAACAGATCTCTTGTCCTGCTTGATCTTTGCCTTTGCCTTTCCCTTTTCCTTTGTTGAAATCGCCCTTCGACCTCTGCTCCCTGAACGATGACAGTTCTTCGCGTTCGGCGGCCGGCGGCCCACCTCTTTCGCTTGGCTGTTCGCTTGTCACGATTGGCTTGCCGCCTGCGTTCACTCCTATCTTCTCCATCGCCTGGTTCTGCAGGAGGTCCCGGGCGATGGGCCATAGCAATGCTCTCAGCTGGTGGTCTGGGAGCCCCATGCGCCCCACTGGCCAACCAAGCTGCTGCGGGGTGTCCCACCTGCTCGTTCCAAAACGTCTCGTCCAATGCCAAGGCTCTGAAACAAGCTGTCCAAGGTTCATCCTCTGTGAACTCTCCCGGAGGAATTCCACCTGCGGCTACCTCCAGGACGATGTTCCTCCGGATCTTCTCCAGCTTCTCCGCTCTTGCCTTGTCGTCTGCCTGGGCTATGAGTCCCCACGCTTTGGGCCATTGCAAACCCAACTTCTCAATGACCTTCTCATAGAGCTGAAGGGCCGCTAGCGTGACTATGTTCAAACAAATGCACGCGGCTTTGAAGACCCTCCAACTCACCAACCACTGTTGCAGGTTCTGCGGGCCGGGCAACTCCTTCATGACAAACGAGCCGTCTCCTATGGGCATGAACGCACGAAATTTCTGGTTCTTCAAGACCCTCCTACCGAAAGGGAGCCACACCGAGAAGTCCACGTAAGGGGGCTGCTTTTGCACTGCTACTCGATGGTGCAATGCAGCCAACTGGGCATCCGTTGGTTCTTCTTCTTCTTGAGGTGGAGCTCCCATCACCGCTATATAGCGTTGCGTCCATTCGTTGAGCTTCAGAGCATCAGGTAGCCTGGTCTCCGAGTCATCCGTCTGGTCCACCAGGTTTGCCATCTTCAACAAATTCTCTTTGCTTCCTGAGGCACTCCCACCACCTGTCGTCCTTGCCGTCGCTGTCGCTTCAACGTGTCCTGTACCATCAGGAGGTCCCCCGCTGCTGGGCATCATCCACGGGTCCTGGTCTACAAACCTGCTAGCATCACCGCCTCCTCGCAGATGAATGATCCACCTGGCATTGCGCCACACCAGCCCCACTTGAGCCGCCTGAATGGGGGTAAAACGATCGCCGGAAGGCAGCAGGGCAGCTCCCACGATTTAAGGGATGGTCCAAGGGGGCACATGGCAGCCACTAAACGTAGGTCATTTCCAGGATCGCCTGCTACATGAAGGAAAGCGGACCAGACCTCATCGGACACCTGCAGGCTCGTCAAGAGGTCCGGGACAGTAGCGAGAGCTCCAGCATCAGCCTGGCTCGCGCCCTTTAAAAGCAATGGTCTCTGACCATCCTGAAGAGCCAGGCTGAGGTTAGATACTTTCATCCCCCCCACCCTCCAGTTACATGTGGCTCTATTATGTCCTTCAGTTCATGCTGAACTTCATCGACAAGCCCCCAGCTGGTACACGACTTCTCACCTTCCACCAGCCCCTCTCGTGGTGCTCTGGGACCCCACAGCTCCACGCAGCCCAAGAACATCTCCCGCATCGTGTCAGATTGAATGCCCTGCTGGTCGAGCTGTCGGTGAGAGCAAACTGTAGATTTGGAAACTCACACCTGCTGTTCAATTGCTGCTCTTTACGCTTCACGACCTGCACCCAGCAAACCGGAAACACTCCAGCTAGAAATGCGCATCAGCTACAGGCAAGGAGAACCACTGGTGCTACAAACAAGTGCATCATGCTTGAAGACCGTTGTGGCTCAATGAGTCAATGAGATTTAATCTGCGACAGGTGACAGGTGCAGTTACAGAAGAATCGTCACGGTGTCACTAGAGGACCTGCGGATTTCCAGATTCTTGGCCTAGCTTCTGATGAGTGAGCGAAAATGCTGAAGCGATGCCAAACAATTGAGTTAACAACTATTAAAGTCATTGCTTCACTGGATGAGTCGACCCAGTGTCTTTCACTCTTTTTGGTTTGGCATGGCATGGCCGTTCGGTCGTCGCAGGCCTGCAGGCGTTCATGTCGGATGGCCGCAACCTGGCAAGATCTGGACAACGTTGCTTGGCAAAGGTCGTGGCCATCATGCAATCCCTACAAGGCTTGCCAAAGAAGCCCTGGGGCCTGGGGCGTCTGGTCTTGCAGCAGCTAGGGCCTTGAGTCATGCACTCATGCACAACAAAGGGTGTTGGTCATTGGCAACCCGTATGGCAGTGCCACTATGCCGCACACAAAACAACACATGAACCCCAAAATCATGGTGTATCCCAAATCGGTGGAACATGTTGGAACATCCACTGGGGACCAGTGAGGAAAGGAAAAGCACACAAAAAATTGTACCAGGACATACCAGGACCATCCAAGGGGACTATCCTATGTTACTTTTTGGCGTTCATTTGGCCTGGCTGGCTGGGAAATGTCCGTTGCAGGCCATCACTCGGGTCCTACGATGGAGATCCTGCACCACCTGACATGCAAAAAAGCATGGAGTATCATTGAGCAAATTGGTGCAAGTATTTGCAGTGGTTTCAAACATGTTTTACATTCCCCGCGCCGCGCAGGTGGTCTAAGATTTCTGTCTTCCTTGGACTCTGCTCTATTCCTCCCAAACTGCTCAGCTGACAGGGGCACAAATCCACCAAAATTGTTGCCCCGCCTCATCTCTCGGCTCCGTCACATGGGAGGGTCCTGCGTGTTGGGGTCGGTCGAAGGGCATCCAAGCCACCGGGTTCCCATGGGATGCCTGCAATGCAACCCGCTATAAGGCCATCTTGCACTAACTGACGTACTGTTGCACCTCTCACGCTCCTTCTGATTACACCAGTTTCAGTTTCCTTCCACAACAGAACTTGTTAAAATATATACAGTAAATGCACTTGACTTTCCACATTCTTACACAGCCCTGACATGTACCGGTGCTTTGATGTGCTTCCGTCCGACCGCCGTCGTCTTCTCCCCAGCGACTCCCCCCGTCCAACACCGACAGCGAGCACCGCGTCAACGGTCATCACCGCGGAGGAGGCCTCTGGTGCGGTGAGGTGAGTCGAGGTGTCCAAGCGGTGTCACCAGCTTGGTGTCACCAGGTGTGGCGACCGACCTGGTAAATCATGGCAAATCCTGGTGAGATCACAGCATGACTGGATGGATGACCACTTCTGTTCCAAAGGATTCTACTAGCATGCTTCTTGCTTATAGGGCGAGACCAGTTTGGGGGACTCACACGAGAAACTGAGAAACAGAAGCTCCTGGAGCTAGGACTCCAGCCTCACAACCTCACCAACTTTTGAGATTTGGAGGAACCTAGCTCCCCGGACAGCTGCAAGCATTACAGGCATACTTTCCGCCCATCCCATTTCCAAACGCCGTGCCTTCACGAGATCTTTAGGAGACTCCTTCACTGGCACTGGTTGTGCCTTAGCGTTCGCTACCTCAGTTGAGACAAGGATGAAGACCATTAATGGCCAAGGCTGCCATGGGGGAAGCTGTAGGGACTGGGGCTCTTCTTCCTGGAAAGCCTCCATAGCAAATACCTTATTATGGGATAGAAACAGGATGCCTTAGCAGGCGCAGCTGTTCGGATGAACCATGATGGACCGCGGCATAGACTGTGCCCCATGGCCGGTCCGTCGTCTCCAAACCGCGACTCGACCACCATTCTTTGCCGAGATCAACCCATCCAACCAGCTGATTGCTCGGACCCTGCCAATGAGAGCGACAAAGATCGTGGTTTTTGAAGTCAGTCAGTCACTTGAAAAACATGTTTGACATACATAAGAGTCAGAATTAGATAGAATTACAGTAGAGCCTACAAAAATAGGTGACGCATGTTCTTGCCTACACTAGCGTCTACATCCGTTTCTCTTGAAAACTCACGTGGGATTGAACATCATAGCTGCTCCCATAGGCCACCAAGAGGCTGTTAATTCCTCGATGCGCCGCTCTGCCGCCTGTGCTCATGAAATGCTGACACAGGCCATGAAGATTTGAGTGACCAGTGCCTGTATCGACCTTTGTAGATCTTCAAAAGTCCTACATGTTTGCCAGCATTTCATGGGCATTTAATCTGAAAAGACCGATCAGACGGTGTTTCCAGGGATGTCATGGTCTGTCCAGGTTTGGCCTCCAAGGCCAATTCCAGTTGCTCCCTCTCGGAGCGCAAAGAGGTGACCTGGCAGAGTCGGAGTCGGCATGACTGTCAGGGCCAAACAAAATAAAGCGACAGTTCTTTCTTTCCGAGCTTTCAGAGGTCTTTGACCGCAAGGGTGATATAAACATACCAAAACAACATAAAAACATGTCATGGGTCACATATTCCTCTATGCCATTCCTCGAGACTGCCTTGTTAAAAGAATAAAACATGTTCTAAGAGCAACACCAAACGGCCCCATTCTCACTATATAGAGTCCGTTAGTCCCTTAGTTCGGGCGATGCGGAAATTCTGCCGTCAATGGTCACAAGACATTATAAGGTAACAAACGATGCTCTCCTCTGCCATCTCATGATGGCGCCATCCTGAGCCATCCTCCCAAAACCTGACCTCCGATGTCCCATTTGACATACACCCCGGTCACTAAGCTCTCACAGATCCTCATATTCCTCAGGTCCTCATATATCCTCATTATCCCATAGAAGGGCATCATAGTCTCTGGGGATTGCCTGTGCAGCTCCAAGATTCATCTTCGTTGCTTGCAGTGTAGCCATCCAAAAGCCCCCCGCAAAAAAAATAATCAACCACAACCCCGCATCGGCGCCACGCCATGCCCCCCCGTATCGGGCTTTCTCTCCGTGACCAGCAAACCTCTTGCTGTAGCTTCACCACTTCAGACTCCTGACGTTGCAGGACAACATCTCAGGACAACGTTGCAGTTCAGTGACTTTTGCATGTTCAACTTGCTTGCGCTGCAAGGATCTCTCTTCTCTAATTGCATGTTCAATTGCCACCTATGACGACATGGGTCACCCAAGAACTTCTTATAATGGAGCCGCAGTTCATGACTATCCATGTATATCCATGTATCATGAGGGTGTAGATAGCTTGCTTCCTCGGTGTCACTGATCGCCACGACTCCAGGCCCCACTCCGCCTTCGCCAGCAGCAAATCCTCCAGGCCCTTCCCGGGGGCGTGGCCTCGGTCGAACACACAGTGAACTAATTCATGCTGCCAGCTACTGGTTACTGAGTTTGTATTAGTGCAGCCCACCGAAGCGTGTCAAACCATGTGACTCTTGTTCCATTTACTCAGCATGCCTCACAAAGGCACATCTTCAAAAATATCACCTGCCTAAAATACAAGAACTCATCAGTCTTTCTTTATCCTTTGTGTTGACCCAACCTCATCTGTCTCTTCCCCTTTCTTTTCACTGGCCGAAGGCTGATTGGCCCCCGTCCCTACATAGAATCCTTGCATCTTGTCCTAGAATTGGCTGCAGCAACCGAACAGCGATCATCTATTCTTCTAACCTTCGCAACGCAAAGCGGTCGCAAATCCCTCACCTCTACCAGACTCTACCACTTCGATCTGCATCGCCCCCCTGCCCAAACTCAAATGAAAACCGAAACATCTGCATCACATCCAAACTTTCCAGAGCTTGAACAGCATCCGGAAGTCTTTGAAAGTGGCACGCCGCCCGCGCGTGCCGCCGATGTCACGACGCGACAGTCGCGCACGCAAGGCTCCGACAGCCAAAGCGCTCGGCCAAGACCTTGAGCCGGCATCCAGTGGCAGAAATCCATCTGGGTAACCTCATTAGGTCCCAAAATCAGTAGAACAATAATGGCTTCTACATGCTTCTACTACGGCTCCTACGCGTGGAGGATGGCTTTCAACTTGGTGTTGGTACTTTCAGGTACAGTAACCTCATCAAATACTGTAGTTGGAAACGCCTATAGGCACAACGTGTTTTGTTCTGGTTATGGTCCACTCACCACCTGGAATAAGGACACCACCCTTACCAGAAGTTGAGGTCACTTGAGCTAGCAGTGACTCAAAAGGAGTCAAATGCCCTTCCTCAAAGGCAGTCGAGGAATTGCGGACACAGTGGCTGCTTCGAGAACGTGGGGCCACATCCAAGCTATGCAGTGAATGTGCAGGCCCCTGGTAAACATCGACCCTGCCTTGGCAATCTTTTGGCATGATGCCTGCCTGTCAGTGGTCAACAGCTTCAGTTCTCACAGCAGTGACAAGAACATCCTGTTGCCTCTATTCACCGGCATGAGGGTAAACAACAGTCCTGGACAACTGCACCCCCCAAAAAAGACAACATAATTTACTATATTTTACAAAAAGCTTGGGGGCATGGCTAGCATGTGTGGTAATGGTTATGCTTGACATGCTTGACACACCAACTGGATGTCATATGTCCAAAGCTGTGGGCCAACACCTCCACAGCTTTGGTCCTGCCTCTCCAGCTTCTCATGGGCCTCTTCGAGCGAAGAAGCTGGCCTCAAATGCAAGGAGAACCATACTGTGGTATATGCTGCGGCATTCAGTCTTGCACAGTCCCCTTTCTTTTGGTTTGGGGGAGAGCACGGCGTCAATGATCAAACTATATCAAACCATTTACCCTCCAGGTCATGGAAGCCGCGCACCATGTATATGGAGGAAACTGACCTTCCATGGCTGCTCTTCGACAACTGTTGGAAAGGGTTAAAGTTGAATACCATAATACCTATATAACAGCCTGCCTTATTGTTCCGCAAAAGAACTTCAACATGTTACACCGCTGTGGCGCATGGCGGCGTGTTCTTCAACACATGCAACAAGTCTATGTTTACCTCTTCACTGTGCTTCTTGGCATGGATATGCCGTCCCCGAGCTTTTTGTTTTCCATTCCTTCTTTGCCTCCTGCCCCTCATCGCTCAAAAGCACAGGCCCTGATATAACATACTGTAGACGACAGTTGCTTTGAGTGTTTGAAAGACTTGAACAAAACTCTCGATCAAACGGTGCTGCAGTGCTGCCTTCGAAGTTAAGACATGCCAAACATTCAAAATTAATCCTTCAACAATGACGTATCGATGCCCAAGTTACACTAGGATTTCCACAACTCGCTCCACGTTCAAGGCTGTGTTCATATGATTACACTCACACACGCACAAAAAATCACAAAAACACACACATGGTCACTTGGCGGGCTCATCATTCTCATCTACAAAAAACTGTCAGCCGTCAACTGCCCAAACGTGACACTGGGCAGCTCGGGCGGTGGAGCATCCGCTGCTCTCTGCGTGTAGCCCTTGGTCTCGACCGTCTCGGCAGGGTGGGCTGTGAGCACTGGTAGTGGAGGGTTGGACAGTTGGAAGGATGGAGAGTTTGGAATGTGGGACGCGACGGGAGTGGGAACTTCATTGCATTTACTCGGTGAACAGAAGTGCCTTGGGCGCCCTCTCGTTGAACGGATACATTCTTGACGGACTAGTTACTGGTTACCAGTTTGGGAACCTGAGCGGTTTTCTTGGGTGCAAAACGCAAGGAATTCCACCCGGATGGACATCGAATACAGTATAATACAATGATATGACATGATATGACCATTGACCTCAACCAAGTTGAACAAACACTTCCACATGACACTTGGAGGGCATCACCTTCTGAGGGAATCCAGTTCCCACTATAGCTGGTAACACTATGGTGGCTCCAACATCTACAACCCATATTAGACCGAACGATTACAGCCCCTGGTTCCTATATGTTCCTTGTTGGTTGCCTGGTGGATCCACCGGGTGGACAGCAAATGAAACACGCGCCGACCGCACCGGGCCGACGCCGACCTCGACTCCGTCGGGCGAGGCATGCGAAGCGTGGAGACCTCCGGGGCTGCACGGGGGAAGTCGGTGGAAGGATTCAGACAAGATCTTCTGAGCGTTTGGACTTGTTTTTTTGAGGGAGAGTTGGACTTGTTTTGTTGGCAATATTCGATAGTCACTGATGTTGAGGTTGTGGTTGCGGTTGTTGTGGTTGTAGTTGTAGTTGTAGTTGTGGTCGTGGTCGTGGTTGTAGTTGTGGTTGTTGTGGTTGTTTTTGTTCTCTTCGTGGGCTCTCAGGGATAACAGGTCTTTTTTGATACGGCTAGGACGGCGATGGCTCCAAGGGGTCCTTATGGTATGCAGCCACCCACAATTGGATTTCCCCATGGGCCCATGGGCCCACTGCTATCCCGGATGTACCCGTTCGAAGTTTATATTATCCAGTTTCGTATAAATGAAAGATTGATTATTGATGGTATACGGATGTATACGGTATATTAGAAGAGCATTGGACGGATTCCTAGGTACAAACATGTACAAACTAATTATGCGGACGTACAGAATCAGAATCGAGGGAACAACCTAGTCTGGTGCAAGCCCGCAAGCTCCCCAGATGAGAAGGATGATCGAGGATGATTGGCTGACGTGCGAGACAGGCTGCAAAATGTTCAGGATATGATGTCGTCACTGATGTCGTCTGCTTCTGGACTCCAAGCTTCTCTACAAGGTGAAGGTGACATGTGAAACTGTTCCAAACGGGTCCAAAAAGGCTTCCTAGCTGAAAAGTAGAAAGTTATAAATGCAAATTTAATCACACTATATTATATAACTTTAAGTCATATATATATACACACATAGACCACCACGGAGCCAGTCATCCAGAAGCTGTTGGTGCACCCTAATCGACAAAATGGATGTTGATACCCAACGAGCGCCTCCACCAGCTTCAACAGCGTTATGCTGCTGCAGCAGACTTGGTTCCAGCCTTGGCCAGCATCGACATAGACAGAGTCTAGACTCAGTTCTAGGAGGGGTCAAGGTCAAAGGACCACGCTTGGAAAACAAATCCTCTAGACTCCAGCGCTGTACTGGCGCGGACCAAGCCACTGTGTAGAAGGTTGGGAGTATCGTATCGACTGTCAAGAGTGACCCAAGTTGAACAAATTCAAAAAGTACTTCATCAAAACATATTGATCACTTAGACAAGAGGGGGATTATATAGATCAAAGCATTCGCATTGTAAATGCATTTTCTCATGGTTTTTCATGTTTCCACATCGCTTGTCAGTTTCGTTGTTGTTGTCCGAATATACTGTTTTAAAACAAGGAACATACCTCAATTTGGTCAATCCCTACATTGCTGATCATATGAAGTGGTCCCAGCAGCTGACCACAAAGGAAATGAGATCATCCACAGAGTAGCTGTGGTCATAGCTGTGCTGATCACTGTCCTGTTTGCATGTAAAAGAACTATGTTGCATGTGTTGACAAGTTTGTTCAAGGTATGTTGAGCTGTTAAAAATTGTTCAGGTTTTTAGAGTCATTTTTGTAGATTTATGTGTTTGTTCTTATTCCATAGCCATGCATGCATAAATCTCTTATATAACGCGATTTCTTCTCGCTTCATTAAGTAGTTGTAAAGGCTGTAAAGGCGATTCATTTTACTGTACATCATTTTACAATTCATTCCTCGAGCACTGCTTAGTAAAATAATATATACAGTATAAAATCAAACGCCCAAGTCTCCACGAACCCTCTTGGGACTTCACCAAGTCCAGCGAGCCAAGCGCGTGGCGGCTCTTCTCGCCCTGCTCGCGGTGCCCACGTGGTCGCTGCGGAGTGCTATCTCGGGCGTGGGGGTTTGAAGTCATCATGAGCACTGAAACAAAAACAGAGGAAACAAACCCAGCATCATAACAAACATCATAAGCATCATAAGCATCATAACAACACATAACAAGCATCATAACCAACATCATCACAAAGAGGCTGGGATCCCTACTTGGTGGACGATCATTGTGACCAGGCCACTCTGGTACGTCGCGGGTGGCCGAAACACGTTCTGTCTGAAACTGGGAGAAGTGACGTTGACCCCTCTGTATCCTCCTGCTTTTGGCAGTCGTCCCAATAAGCCATGCCATCCACTTCCATGTCACCAATCACATCAAACCGGCCCATTCGCGCCTGCAGACCGGCTGCTTGGACAAGTAGGCCATGGCCCGCCTCTCTGTCGCGGCCGATGGAGACACTCAAAGGAAGCCCCTTCGGACCGGTCTTCTTCACCGACCGCCGAGCAAACCCCGTTAAGGCCGGGTTGGCGGTTGGCTGGTCGTTGTCCCGGACCCGAGGTAAAGCGGTTCCCCGAAGAGCGCCTCTTGGCCAGGATCTTGGCCTGAACCGTCTCTGCCTGGGCCTCCAGCAGCTGCTTGCGGAGTTTCAGGCAGCTGAAGGCATGGTGAAGGGGACTATAGGAGATCATTGAGGATCTGATGATGAAGAACTCTTCACCACGCCTTTAGGTAGACTCCGTAGACCTCTGAAATTCGAGGACGGTTAGGTAGGTTCCCCTCTTCCAAACGCTCCCGATCGCCCACAGTAAGTCCGCAAAGCTGGGAGAAATCAACAAGTTCTGCCGTGTATGCCACTGTTGGGTTAGACTAGTTGAGAGAAGTAACACATTGCTGCAGTTGCCCACTCAGTTGTCCAATTGTTACAACATGTGCTTGGATGTACCCAACTGTGAACTAATGATGCGAAAAGGAACGCATTGCCACAACACCAAAACAGTAGAGTCGAGCCAACTGACCAACACTGCCCCACACTGCCCCACATCAAGCGCCACTTTTTGGGCGTTCGTTGGGGCGGTTCGGCGCCATCCCGCGATACTGGCGCTGGAACTAAAGGCGTCAAAGGGCTGCCTCGTTCGAAGAGCATGCTGAGCATGACTGGGCATCATTTCGGCACCCAAAGGTTTACACTCCAAGTCATTGACATGGAAGTGAAGAGCCAGAGGAACATGTTTTTTTGTCCAGGATTCCAGGAAAATATTTTCCACTTCCGTGATTACTTCAGGGAGTGTACCCATACACTGGCTAACAAGGAAACTTGAAGTTGCTGCATTCAGTTGGCCGATCTCTTCCTGAAAGTCCTTTGCTCTTTCCTCCTCTGTCCCCCTTTCAGATTTGACTTTCGATTGATCTACAATCATCATAGTTGGTTGGTCAGTGCAGTGAAGAGGAGGGGGATAAGGATGAGTGGCGGCCTTGGGTGTGGCCAAAGAACAGCTTCGAGACTGACCACTCTAGACTAGCCATGCGCAAGCAGGAGCTTGTGTTAAATAGTACCTTGTATTTCAACTTGGCCCATGGGAAATAAATACCGGGTTTGATATGGCACAAGGTTGCGTTTGCGGGGAAGGATATGATATGCCGTAACATGCAGTATATATAAATAAATATTCCAAGCATTCCGCCTCTATGAAAACGTCACATTCCGAGTCTATGAAACTGTGTGCCTCAAATCTCCGACGCGCCCAACTCCCAGCCTAATCGGCCTCCAAACTGCTTGATTCTCTTGCTCCTGCAGCCGAAAGCAAGCCGTACGAGACTGCTGCTGGGCTGCTGGGCCGGAACACAAAACATTGATTTGCTCAGCCGCCTCCACGACCGCCATCACTCCCATCACCGGTCTGGGCACACAATCCATTGCCGAGCCACACGGCAATCAAGAGCTGGCTTTGTAGAGTCAGAAAGCGATCCCCCTGGCGATCGTGGTCGGCTCCGTCAGCTTCGGCACGTGAAGGGGTGAAGGGTGGGGGTCGATCTTGCAACCAAATCATCACCCCTAGCAGTCAATTGATTCATGTCAACCTATATTGTGATTCACGTTATGGAGCCATTCAGGGAATGGCAAAAGTCAAGCACATGCCAAACACAGGTTCATTGAGTGCGAATTGCCAGGAAACAGGAACTGACGCCATGTGGGGAAACCCACACTGTGAACCGTCCCCTTTGGCACCTGCAGGCTCTTCTCAAAGTAAGCTCGAAGGTAGAAGTCGGCGCCGTATTCTGACCTGAGACCATCCAAAATTCGCCGACCAATGCTGTCCACGTCGGACACGCTTTTTGATGCTTTTTGGGAGAGGATACGAGGGAAAAAGAGCCATGGAAGTCAAACCCCTGGACAAAATTGTGGCTGTTGGATGGCCACACAGTCGAAGCCATGACAAGCCCCCAAGCAAGGCTAGGTTGGCTGTGGTTGATTGGACAAAGCTTGAGGAACCCTTGGTTGTCTATCGAAACAGCTTATAAAGACAATAGGTCAGCGTCAAACGCGGCGGTAAAGCTTTCTTTCATCATGATTCTTCACTCATGCCCCACTCAGGCAGCTTCAGACTGCTCTTAGCCAGTCTAGGCCGGAGAATGCCTGTTCACTGTTCTGAGGGAAAAGCCATCCAGCCAAAACGAACTGTGGCTCATAGATCTTCATATGGCCTCCACGCTGCGCAAGCGCCACACCCCAGGTGCTGGCCGAAACGTGTGGGTGCTGGCCTCATCTGGACATGATTCTTAATTACTGTACCAGCTCTGAAACATCAGCCGGGCTGGCTGCAAACATCATATCTGGAACTTGAGCACTCATGTTGGAGGCCGGCGACATCCGAGTTTCGGATCGTTGGAACCGCCCGTCAATGCGACCATGAGGCTTCAGGGTGTGAAGGTCGGACAGGTGAGCATTGATATACGCCCACGCCCCCAACTAGATAGAAAAGCACCTCCCCACTACCAATGTATGGGAAACCGTTTCTATCTATTTAGGGACCACTATGCATCATGACACATCCTTCGGCTTCTTGCTCCGAAGGATTTCGATCGGCATCCCGTCGTATCGCTCGCCTCGATTGGCCATGAGAATTCGAAGCACCTGAGGCTTCGAAGACGCGGACCGAAGGCGCGGATTCCGCAGAAGACCAAGCAGCAGTGAGTATGAGAGGATCATCAAGGAAGATGGATGGTGGTGCAAAACACCAGATTGTACAACCATTTTGATATTTGAGTCAGTCCGAGTCTTACGTGGATAAAAGCAGGGCTTATTGACCCACTGTCTGCTGTCCTGAAGTCTCATTAGCAGGTTGACATCCTGAGATTCTATATTTTAATATTTATACAGCAAACACCTGCACAACGGTACTGGCTCCTGCAGGCTGCATCTCTCAACCTCAAAAGTCGCATAATAAAAGTAGGGGGAAGGAAGCTACTAGTAACAAGTGCCTTACTAGTAGTAACAGGTGCCTTACTAGTAGTAACAAGAAGCTACTAGGAACAAGTGCCTTACTACTAGTAACAATAAGAATTCAATTAGAATTGTAATTACTAGCAAAGGAATCTACTAGGACATCCTCCACACAGCGCAGTGTCCTCCACACGATTTCTTCCCACTCCCTCGCTCTCTTCTCTGGGCATTCCTGGCTGCAGACTTCTGAAGCACATTGGGGTTGTTCCGCAAATCGTCCTGAACGGTGTTGACCTCGGCGGAATACGTTTCTCATCCGGTGATCAGGAGAATCGTCCTGGTTCCGAAGCGGCGACCGCAAGGACTCAGGTCCAAAACGACATGTTCCCGGCCTGAACTCCAGGCTCTTCTAGCCCAAACCAAGGATGTTTGAGAGGCCAAACCAATCTGCAACTGTTCTCACTCTGGAAGCCTGAGACTAGTGTTGAGTGTTGTGTCTCTGCATGCTGTCAGGTGCCCGTCGTGTTGTATGAAGCAGCTGTCTGGAGATGTGAATGAGGATCGAACAAATCACTTCATCCCGACATCCAAGCATCCATCATGCAGGGAATCCAGCTGCTGTTCTGATTCTGAACATCTATGAAAACCCAGTCACGTGGGCTATGACATGTCACACAGCAAGCTTCGCCGGCTTCGCCCCCCAATCCTGGCCGAGAATCAAGCACTTCCAAGTTCGAAGGATCTTGAAACGTCACAGTCTCGGCTCGGCGCATGCGGACGCATGCGGCTCGGCTGGAGGATGCTGAGTAGGTGCTGATTGGGTGAAAGTCTGAGAGCACGTCGCTGTGATGCATGTTCTGGAGGCCACAGGCTGCATACAACAGCCGCTTTGAGAAAAAAAACAACCAACAGAGCTCACAGTGGATAGGCATTTGAAAGAAAGATAGAACCATCAGGCAAGCACGCACACACACAGGACGGTTATATTGTTTGTCACCTCGGCAGCATTTGGCTGCAAGCCCAGCAGTCCTTTGCAGCCGAGTGTCCTTATGGTTAGATATCGTGTGGAGTGTCAGTCTACCTCTCAATGACGTTTACAGTAGACGAACCCTTGGGTCCCATTGGGGCAACTCTACTTCGCCATGCCCAAGCACCGGGGGCATCTCCCATTTCTTAACTAACCCTGCAGATCCCTGCAGGGTTCCTGCCCAAGCTCTGCCCCATTAGCCAAGCTGCCAAATGCTTCTGGCAGACTCTGAAGCGCTTGTTGGTCTTATCGATGACCGTGCCATCCAGGATGCGCCGATTTGGCACCGTGACCCGCGTGCCTTCGTAGCCGTTCACCGTGGTGTTGAACCAGCCGACCTGGGACCGGCAAAAAAACAGCATGGCCGGTGACAGCTGGCTACGGAACAAAGGCACTTCCAGTAGTTTCAAGCTGTTTCGTGATCAAGAGCCTAGGATGGCCTAGGCCCAAACCAAAACTCGTGAGAGGACATAATGCATCTCCCCTTTTCAATTCTAAGCCCTCTGTTGGAATGCTGCACCTGTACCATGTCCTTCCTGATGTTCAGCAAAAACACATCAACCACACTCCAAATGCATGCGAAAGCCCAAGGCACTTCTGAAACAACCCCTTGGAGCTTCACATCTTGCAGCTCTACTTCCAAACCTTCGCAAATCGTCGCGTTGGTGTAAATGAGAATCCTCCGTCGCGCAATCGACATCGTCACGTCACGGCGGGGTGGTCCGGTCACTGTTTCAGAAGGTCTTGGCATTTGGATCTGACCCCTGGCTTGACGATCATGGATTGCATCACCCATTGATTTCAACTCCTGGAATAGGAGTGTGTCTTCAGTAGATGTCTAAGGGTGAATTGTGTCGTGGCATGTTTTACACCAGTATTGATGCATCGAATCCATAAAAACTGGCCCTCGAATGTCAAGGACCAACCTCATTGATTCATCCTACTTCATTGCACTAGTGCCAGCCGCGAGGCACTTTTCTACTGTAGTGAAAGCGTTCACCTAAAACATCCCAAACCACCTGAGATGAAGAATTACTCAAATACTCACCCACGTGCCCACTCTGCGCATGTGATCACATCTCTTTGGCCGATCCATCTGTTGAGCACCAAGTGCTTGACCGCGTTTGTTCCAGTCACCTGCACGAACATCCTGCTGGGGCGCCCGGAGATGAGGTTCTGCACCAGGTTCTGCAGGGCCAAACCCACCGCCAAGCCGCCCACACCGCCCACCGCCAGCACCGTACGCAGCTGCACGTTGATGAGCCGCAAGGGCACCTCAGTGGGCATGGATGGATTGGAGGGGGCCAAGTATATAGTCACCCCGGAGACAAATAAAAACAAGTTTGTAAGGCTCATAGTTGCCAACTATAAACAACATACAAAATATTCATTTTGCAACCCCCTCACAGAACTTTAAGACAGTTTCTTATACTCATGCTGGCCATAAAATCTTCAAACCAGCACCCACACACACAATGAATTTGAGGAACTTGCAAAAGGGTCCAGCTTGCAGTGTTGAGCCAATTGCGAGATCTATATAATCAGCTCAAGTGCCGGAGCCTTTGTTTTTGCTTTCGCATCGTATTCTCATTATATGCGTTGATCGCTTTACCAGAGAGCTCTGAGTGCTGTGTGGGCATAGCATCTTCTGACGCTACAAGTCTCGGTGACTATACAACAGGCTCTAACAATTTCAGTCTCAGATAGATGCGATAAGGCGATAAGTACGATTTCAAGATGCATTTGGAGGCATCCCGTGGTGGAGACAGGCTGCTTGAGTCGTGGGAGAGGTGAGGCTTGTTTTCCTTCCATTGGACTACCCATTGGACTCCCACTAACTCTGAACGTTGACAGATTTGCAGGTGCAGTTCAGCCAAGCAAGAGACTGCTTGTCTCAAGCAAGAGCTGGCACAAGCTCGTGAGGAACCGCGTTCAAGCTTGCTTACTATAGTTGCTATAGCTATTTATCACACCACACTGCCACAGAGTGTATGCTCAAATTACCAGCACGTCAAAGGCCTATAGTGTCTGGTGGATTTCCGTTCTGGGAGAAATTCCACGCTGGGAAAACATGCCTCCGAACTCAACCAACAATTTGAGGACTCAAAAAGCAAGGTGTATGAAAGGATTGCACTGGGCCTGGACAGGATCTTATGTTTGACCATTATCCCAATCAAATATAGACCCAGGCATCTTTTCTCAACGTATGTATGCAACCAATTGTAAACAAACTGGGAACAACTGGGGACCTGTCCGTGAATAGAATGTTTACATACCCGCATAGTATTCTTGGAAGCGCTGTTTTCTATTGTTCCTTTGGCAGGGTCCTGACTGCTACAGTGCTACAGCTTCTGTGAAATGAGGGAGGGGTCCTCAGCCTGATGGTTCAGGCTCCCGAAACAAACATTGTAGCCCTTCCAGCAAGTGCTTAGCTTGGGGTTGCTCTTAATAATGGATCTTGATGAATTAAGTCCTTCCAAGCGATGATGGGTGTCTTTGAAGATTTCTAAATTGAACCTCTTGTGGGGGTACATTTTTTGGGATGTCAACGGCTTCTGGCCGCCTTGGGTTTTGCTTCTTCAGGAGTTCAATGAGCATGCATGTTGACACGGTCGGCTGCTTTGTGTGCAACGGTTAGCTCGCCGAGGAGCACATTGATTTCCGAGAAACTCCTTCCTCTCTTCCGTGCGGAGATGCTTGAAAGGTGCTACTTTATGTGTAATGAGTTCATGTTTGTCTCTGTCCCAACACCGAGCCTAGGTAGGCAAGTGACTGAGATCAAGCAAATGTAGATTGCGCAGGTCAGGCACTTGTCTGCCTTGGATCGGGTGTGGCAACCAGCTGCAGGCTTCTTGAAACCCACATCACTAGGAACCTGGACTTCGGCACGAAAGAACCGCCAAAGGGAGTGCTCTGTTGAACAGCCTGCAGACTCAAAGAACACTAACAGTGGAAGAAATAGTTCATCATTTTACAGCTCAGCGTCTCACCACTTTCTGAGCAATGATGTGAGTCCCTAAAACAAATCCACCTACTCGGATATGCAGCATATTGGCACACCTCGGGACCCAAACAGAACTCCTAAAGCCTAAAGCCATGGCAGTGCCAACCACCAGAGACCTCCGAAGTGTTGACTTTACAGTCAAGCACTCACCACCCATAAATGCCACCCGAAATGGTGTGGCTATGTGTGGCTACATACTGTAAGCGCAAATGACCCGAGCAAATGGCACAAACCGAAGAAGACTCTTGTAACAGCTGAGGCCCCGGCCCTAAACCATTCTAGATTTTTAAGTTTCATGGAATCCAATGCTCGGTATGGGGCCCCGCTCTCAAACTGTGGCTTCAGGGATCCAATCTTGAATTGCAAGGGTGCGTGTGGCATGGTAACTCTCAAGTGAGTGGAGAATATAAATATCCTGATATGTCCTGACTCAAGCCACTCCTATTCATGATGTTTCATCTCCACTAACCGATAACCCTTTTCAGTACAATTGCCAAATCAAATCCCAAGAGTCTCCATCCGAATGGCGTCGTCTGTGTGTGGCTTATGTGTCAGCCGAGGGTGCCAAGAGTAGCCGCATGTTGGAGGTCCGCAGCCGTGGCCTCGCCCGCATGGCCAGCAACCACACCAACGGCCTCAAGAGGGAACCGCGAGCGCAAGGAGAACCGCGAACCGCCGGTTGAGGCATCGAGAGGTGATGGACGGTTGATCCAGTAGCTGGTGTTGGAGGAAGTTTCTGGAAAGAAGTTGGTTGATCTGGGCATTTAGTGTCAGGGTTTGGCTTATAGCTCAGGGATGGTGCCATTTGATCTTGGAATAGTTCAACATTCATTGTCCATAAATCTCGGTAGGGAGGCGCAGATTCCATTTGAGTGGGCTGCATCATGTGCCCGAGCACAAAAAATCGAAGGCTGCAGAATCCCTGGTCCTCAAGAGCACTTCAACGCTTCGCTCTCTCTCCCTCTCTCTTTCTGAATTTCTCGGGTGCTTGCCCAGGAGAGAGACAAAAAGAAAACGTCTGGGAAGTCTGAGTTACAACGGTTGCCCTTTTGCAGCACTGTTTCAATGACATAAGCCGCCAACCTGGCATCACCTTTACTACTACAAAAGCACCCAAAGTTTCACCAAATTGATGCTGATGCTTTGCAAATCCATTACCACGCGCGAAGACTTGCAACTCCGCTGGCCTCCATGGGAACAAAGATGCCCCTTTCCTGAGCATTTCCAGTGTTGGTTACTCATTCTTTACAGCAACATGGAACTCCAACTCCAAGTTAGTCTCCAAGTTACACAGGCAGTAAATGAACAAAAAGCACAACGTAAGCTACTGTGGCTTGCACATGTGATGGTGGTCGAGGGTGTCACATGGTGTCTACCCCAAGGAAGCAACCTTGGGTTTATGGAGACTTTCTTTGTACGGGCTTTGAACACCTTCCAGGCTTCCATGACCGTGCACCCAACCATTTACAGCTTTTCCCTGCGACCCAAAGTTCAAAGGGAGTTGACTCCTTGAAAAGCAATATTTTTTGCGCATACTATATATTATACGACCAATATAAATAAATATATATATATATACAGTACAGTATATATTGTGTATTTAAACACAAACGTGAACCCTAGTTTTCCAATGTGTTCCATGGTTTTCCTCTGTGTTGATCTTTTCTCAGGTACTCTTACCCGTCGTGCGTGCCTGACGGTCACTCCGGTCACGGCGCCGGTCCAGCCCACGGTCGGGGGATCCGGTTGCTCCGGTCCAAGCCACACGGCTTCCTGCTCTTCCATGGGGATTTGAGCTGCCGAGAGGTTGGGATCCTGCAACTCTCCAGGCACTTGGAACTGGAGTATGCTAAGAACAAAGGCATTAGAGTATGTATGCATATGTGTTTTGGCTCAAGCCACAGCAAGGGAGCATAGGAACTTTCGCACTGTCCAACCGTTTGGAACTACAGACCACATGAGGTTCTTCCCATTGGTGTTGGATGGTCAAGTTCTTTCTACTTTCAGGATGCCGGTGTTGCCCAACCAACATTATAGTTATATGCGCGGTAACAACTGAAGTTCATCATTGTTCGGTAAACCACCTGAACATACCTGAACCCAAGTAGCTCTGCGGTCTCTCCTTGAGATTCAGCAGCAGCAGGGCTGACAGCGCTAGGAGGCAAGCCCACATCAACTTTCCTGGGCACAGCTCCCAACTCTTCCTTGTGTGACCACTCATGCTGAACATGACAACAGGACCAGGCCACCACACAAGCAAGCAAAACCGGGGTTCCTTGCAAACCGAGGCCTCGGGCTCTGGTTGGTCTACCAACTTCGCGACTGGGACCACCCAAGTGACCAGCAAAGGAAGGGCTCTTCAACTCATCGAAATGGCCAAGGCCCATGGCCGAGGTGCGAGAGAAGGCCACCAGCGTATCATAGACCAAGGTCCGCGTCTGGGCATTGGACGCAGACCTGACTGAGCCAGCTCGACACAAAAAATACACACACGTGACCCGTAGGTACCCTGTGGTTTGTTGTTGCATGGGATACGCGTTGTTTCTTTGCTTTTACTTTCTTATATAATCATTATGATTGTTTCCTTCCACAAGGCCCCCCTTGGCGGCCGAGTGACCACAAGCGCCCAGGAGAAAAGGGCAGAAGGAAGCTGGTTGCCTCCTGCCAGCGAGGCAAGCGGGCAAGCGGACTGCTCG